ATAAATATTGCTCTTTAGCGCCCTTCAAAATTTTTTCCTCTTTTTTTTCATTATTTTTTTATGCCAACTCCAGTGATTTTCGTGACCTCAAAACTTAGCTCAAATTTTTATGTATTTTAGGTTAAAAAGATAAAATTTAAATCAAAGATGACGCTCGATAGATAGTCCACCCGGCCCTTAAAACTGATTTGAAAGAGTCAAGGCCCTATGCGTCTTATATTTACAATAAAATTACGGCAATATACATCTCAACATATTGCAAAACATGACATCATCATTAATTGATTATCTCTACCCCCGAAATCAAATGAAAAATAAAGTAAATTGAAAAAATAATTCGCAAGTCTAGAAAAATAGTCTGCAGTGAGAATTATCATTCTCCCCTTTCTTGTGGCAATATTTCATCGTCTGGCATATTAATTGCTTCACTCTACGGCAGGAAAAATATCAAAAAAGAAACTTAAAATATCATGCAGTATAACATTAATAAATCATCCGTCAATAACGTGATTACGGGGGATAAAAAATTTGCGCGATTGAAAGTGTTCCTATCGGTTTAAAAAATGTCACTTGCTCACTGTGAACGTAATTAAATGTTCTCGAGTCATTTGGTATTTAACTTTCGAAGTATAACAATGAGAAATACAAATTTAATTATCTTTTGTATCATATACGACACCAGATACTGATTTTAATTGCGAGATACCATCGCCATTTTAATAGTCAAATACAGAAAACGTACATCAAAATTTGAAGAACTTCGATCTCGACACTCTGCTCATTATTTTTGTATACAAATAACAACATATAAGTCGAAGTCAGTAGCAAAGTGATAAAGAGTGAGTCGATTCAATTAATAGGTAAGTTTCAAATAAATATCTCTGAACTTAAGGGAAATTATGAAATTCTTGTAAATACCTTTTTGTCAACTCTGATTCCACTCTACGAAAGATATCTCAAGCCTAATTCCGTTATCTCTCTTAAAATCACAGACCTTGGTCTTGCTATTCTTCACCACTGTCCACCGTGTACTGAATTGAAAAATCCCCGTCCACAAAAACCGTGGAAATACCTAATCGATTATTTAACTTCGATAGAAAAAATTGTGCGGAATTTCGTTTGAATCCTTTAAGATGTTGGAGGATTTGAGGCAAGCCACGAAAAAACTGCATATTTGGTAAATCCCTTGATTCACAGAAAAAACACGTGCTCCACGATTTCTCATCTGTTCTCTTTAAAGCTTGCATGATTTCATCCTTAATTCTTTGTGATTGAGTGTCAAATGACGAACAACTGGTAATTGTACTTATAGGAGACAGCATCTGGGTCTCCTGCGTCCTGAATTACCGGCTCTCTGACGTTTTCTCTTCTCTTTTCCCCGGTGCTCCTTATCCTTTCGTATTTCTCGTACCTTGTGGGGTTTTCATCGTTAAATTCATATTAATTCAGAGGTGTTATTATATATCCCCATCGGATGCTCTCAGAACTTTCATTATTCATTACTCACCAATGTGTAAAAAGCATCATCTACACCCATTCGTGTTTTGGCTGATGTTTCAACGAACGGTACACCATATTGACGCGCAACTTCTCTCGCTTGTGACATATTCACAGCCCACGATTGTTGTAGATCACATTTATTACCGACTAATACCATGGGTACCTCCTCTGCATCTTTCACCCTTTTGATTTGTTCTCTGTATGTTCCTATGTCCTAAAAATCACCCGACAATCATCTGTAGATTAAAAATCTTGGGGCATACGAATCTCAATTATTGAGATGATGACGTTGGACATGAATAAATAATAAAACCACAACTTTCAGATTCATTAATAAACGCCTGAATAACTCACTTCAAAGCTCTTCGCGGAATTAACTGCAAAAACTAAGAGAAATCCCTCCCCGGTCCTCATGTACTGATCTCTCATTGCACTGTACTCCTCCTGTCCAGCGGTATCCAAAATATCCAGAAGACAAGTCTCCCCATCAATAACAACCTGCAAATATATCCCCCAAATTAATCAGCTCCATAAAAAAAAAACAAAGTCTCCACCGCATTCCCAATCCCAACGATCTATTAATCAATGAGTCACAGCATTCCTTCACTTGATGGACCTCAATAGTTTTTTTTCCTGTTCAAGCGACATGAATTCTTAGCTACTGTAATTCTCTACAACTCCTAATAATTTAAAAATAATGTCCCAGTTATTTTAAAAAATTTACCTGTTTTCTATATGAATCCTCTATCGTTGGATCGTACTCATCGACAAAATGATTTTGAATAAGTTGAATAGTAAGAGCTGATTTGCCGACACCACCAGCCCCAACAACCACTAGTTTATATTCCGTCATTATTTCCGTGTAATGTAACTCCCAATAACAAATCTTTTAGCAAAGACCTCTTGAAAATCCTCACCAGTTCCTCATCACCATTCCCCTATAACTATAATTAAAAACGGAGTAATTACCTTATCATAATCAATCACTCGTCTCATAAAATTATGTAAAGACCCAGCTGGGGCGGCCAATGGGCGTATGCTGAGTACCCCATTTGCCAAAAGAAAAAAAATCAACTTACGTTACACCAGAGCCAGCATTTCACACATGCACTTCGCTATTAAGCCCCGGACTGCCAACAACTCTTCTTAACACAAATGTGATCCACTGTGAGTCACTGAAGGCCAAAACATCTGGTCTCAGACGTCAACCTACACCAACAAACTCCCTCGAATAAATAACTCCACAAGTTGAACAAAAAAAAAGGGGGGGAGCGCAATCGTGTACTTTCTCACATTCACTCGCACATATTCCCTATTCAATGAGAACGAATCGACTAACTTTTGATGATATCAAGCCCCCAACAATCGGAAAAAAACTATCTAAGCATCCTGCCAACCACATGTATCAGAGTGAATTCTTAAAGTGTAATTAAGTGATGAAAATGCACGATTAAAGGAGATAAACTATTCACCGATGCGGAGAAATAGTGATTGGAGCTCACGCAACAGTCATACGAAATCGTCTAATTGTGTTGTACTCAAAGAGGATTGACTAAAGTAGTGGCTCAGTTCTGGGGGTTTGAGTGACCCCAGCGGCATCATAGTACTGCACCCCAAGATAGGGAGGGCGCCACACGCAATGCTGGGGTGTCTATCAAGTCAACGGGGTGAATTTTATTTTCTGAGGGAAGGAATGCTTTTTTTTTTATTTGTTTAACTGAAATGTAGCCGATTGTAAAACGAGTGGAAGGGGGAAGCCACATCTTGTGGAATTTTAAATGAAAAAAATATTCAATATATTGAAGATATACTACTAATGAAATTATATTATTACAATAAGCGCGTTGTCGATTTGGTAACGTGCTTGGCTGGCACGCCGACGGCTAGGGTTCGATCCTAGCCAGCATTCATTTTTTTTTTTTTAAATAATTGCATTTTTATCTTTTTTAAATGGCTAATCAATGGAAATATTGTTTAAACACTGAATTTTTGAAAATCGAAAAGATATTCTGTGAAATTGACAAATTAGCAATTTTTTAAAACGATACTTTTGCAAAATATATACTCCTAACGAATTTATAACATTGTAATAGTGAGTTATCCTAGTGGTAACGTGCTTGTCTACCACGCCGACGGCCCGGGTTCGATCCCGCCGTCATTCATTTTTTTTTTTAAATAATTCCAATTTTTTCTTTTGTAACTGGCTAATAAATCGACATATTGGTTAAAAACTGAATAGCTCCTCGATTGTCATGTTCCCCTGATACTTTTACAAAAATTTCGAATTTTTCACTTTCAGTGAAAATTTCAGTGAATAGCTCCTCGATTGTCATGTTCCCCTGATACTTTTATAAAAATTTCAAATTTTTCACCTTCAGTGAAAATTTCAGTGAATAGCTCCTCGGTTGTCATGTTCTCCTGATACTTTGACAAAAATTCCGAATTTTTCACCTCCAGTGAAAATTTCAGTGAATAGCTCTTCGATTGTCATGTTCTCCTGATACTTTGACAAAAATTTCGAATTTTTCCCTTTCAGTGAAAATTTCAGTGAATAGCTCCTCGATTCTCATGTTCCCCTGATACCTTTTCAGAAATTTCGAATTTTTCCCTTTCAGTGAAAATTTCAGTGAATAGCTCCTCGATGTTCATGTTATCCTGATACTTTTCAAAAATTTCGAATGTTTCACTTTCAGTGAAAATTTCAGTGAATAGCTCCTCGGTCTTCATGTTCCCCTGATACTTTTTCAAAAATTTAGAATGTTTCAATGTCTATACTTATACTTTTGCAGAGGGATATTTCGACTGATTATTATTGAAAAAAAAAAAAAAATTAATAATGCCGGGATCGAACCCGGGCTGTCGGCGTGCCAGTCAAGCACGTTGCCGTTAAGACAACGCACTTTATTATAAAATTATAATTTCATTAGGAGTATATATATTGCAAAAGTTTCGTTTTAAAAAATGTCAAATTTTTCAATTTCACTAGATATCTTCTGGATTTTCAAATATTCAGTTTTTAAACAATATTTCCATTGATTAGCGATTTACAAAAAAAAAATTGGAATTATTTAAATAAAAAAAAAAATGAATGACGCTGGTATCGAACCCAAGGGATCCGCGTGCCAGTCGAGCGCGTTGCCGATTAGGCAACGCGCTCATTACGAAAATTTAATTTCATTAGTGGTATATATTCAATATATTGAAAAATTTTTTTCATTTGAAATTCCACAAAATGCGGCTTTCCCCTTCCGCTCGTTTTACAGTTGGCTAAATTTCAGTTAAATAAATAAAATAAAAAGCATTCATTGATGGACACCCCAGCATTGCGTGTTGCGTCCTCCCTCTTTTGGGGTAGGACTTTGAGATGAGAGAAGTGGGTTGTAGGTGCATTATACAGAGGTCACTGTTTACGGATCTGCTTGTTACCGACTTCCAGCATTAAAATAAGGGCGCAATGCTCTTCGTGTTTGACAGAATCGATATTTATACACGAAACTCAATAAAATGAGGACAAAACATCAGTTTAAAGTTCGTCAGCTCATCATCATGTGATAGCATGGCTTTCTCATTGATGAATTAATTACGGTGATAAGGTCGTTATCACCTGTCCGTTATCCTTCTCCCATTGGTCTCTAATTGATACAGAACAATTATGACTCTGTACTTTGACATTCGCGTGCAGAACCCAGAGACAGCATCCATAAACACGATAGCAACTTGGCATAACAATTACCCATTGCTGGCAGTTGCTGCTTACTCTCAGGACCGAGGTGGTTTTGTAAATATCTACGATGATCAAGGTGAGCCTATTCCTGATGGAGAATCCTCGGGGCACTCTGTAGCCCAAGTGACAGCAGTCTCGTGGCACCCGGAGAAGCGATGGCTTGTGGCTGGCTGGGAGAGTGGAGAAATTCGAATTTGGCTAGGAGACACTGCCACTGGCCAATTCAATCTCACAGTGACTCCCCACAAGGATCCAATAAGTCTGTTGGAGTGGAGTCAACATGGAGGGAGACTGGTGTCAGCTGATACCAGGGGATCTATCGTCGGCTGGAAGATTGACACCAGAGGACAACTTTTCATCGTTTTCCACCACGAGCTCAACGAGAAATTTACCCAGATAACATTCAAAATATCACCACCAAAGGCTGGAGTAGATCTGAGTGATTTAGCAAGGGCTGCTGTAGCTGGAGATGAGAGGGCACTCGATCTCTTCAGCACGTGGAGACCCAGAACTGCAGCTCCAAGTGCCGTTAATGTTCAAAAGGATAATCTGACATTTTACATTGGGTCGTCGAGTGGAACGATTTACTATGTTGACAGCCAGGGCCAATGCATGGAGGTGCTCAATACTGGGGGATTGACTCTCCACTGCCTTCTTCATCATCCCACCAGGGATTCGGTTGTAATTATGACCGAGGGATTGACCATCGGCCATTTTCAGAGTGAATCCACAACTGGGAGACTCACAGAGCTGTCCAGGGTGAAGTTGAGTGGCAAGAGTGACTTCTCCAGGACTGGACCAGCCTTCTGCTGGGTTGGAGCCAACAGTCTAGCTATTCTTACGGGTGAGCTCAGTGTCAGATGCTGGGATCTGTTTACTGGAGATACTTATGTCCTTGCACCAGCTGACTCAACCACTGGCAATCTGGCAACACCTCAAGAGATTTACACAAGTTTATCATTCTGCATGAGCAACGAGACTCTCGCTGCTGGGACCAATCTTGGGGCCATCCACCTCTGGAGGAAGAAGAATGCCTCCATCACCGACGAGTACGGCTGGCCAACAGTTCCTAAATCCTGCTCAGTCCATGGAACAGTTAAACAACTCACTTGGGGTGGAAATCTCCTGAGAAATCCTCTGCTGGCTGTCAACTGTATCACCAACGTCTTCATCCTTCACCAGCAGCCCATGTGTGCTGTCTACAATGAAGGAACAAGCGCTAGTCAAATAGCTCCCATGCAGATACTCGTAGAAACCGAGAACAAGAATTTTATTCTCAAAACTGATCTCCAGGTCCAGGTGCTCGCCGTAAACAGGGACTTCGTGGCAGTCTCCTCGTGTCGACAGGTGGCCGTTTACAGGATAAATCGAGACGCCAAATTGAACTCAACTGTGGTGGGCTCCTTCAGTTGTGATAACGAGAAAATTCTCATTTATGAGAATACACTTGTTATTCTAACACCCACCGTCATCCAGCTGAGATCCATTGACGGTTCTCTCATCCAGAGTTTACCCACACTCCCCGAGGAGGGTGAGCCCATCACAATGGAGCTCACAGACCAATACTTGACCGTCGCCTCACTCAATGGAATCCTCAAGATCTGGGACATTGGAAAAAGAGAGGCAAAGCTGCACACCAGAGCAATGACCACGTACGAGGTCATAAATGACTTCGCTGAGATAATCGAGGCTCGTTGCAACTCCGATTGTCGATGTGTATCCATCACTGTAGCCATGTCCAACCTTCTCCCCAGCTCAATTCTCTACATCTGGGACATCGAAGGGGACCAAATCCACGAGTTCGATTTTGCTAAATTGAATGAGGCCCCTGACACCGAGGGAGCGACTGTGAAATCCAAGGGGAGGCTGCCAACGGCTCACTGCTGGGATACGAGTGACCCTAGGGTATTGATCTGCCGAGCGCAGAAAATAGAATCCAAGGAGACTAAAAACTCGAGCAAACCGAATTTCTCGAGTAATGATGATACGTCAGTTATTCTGGTCTCGATGTTTGCAACACCAGACCATGGTATAGCAGTTCAGGATATCCGTCCAGTGAAGGACGCAAGCACTCGTCTACTGGGGGTTCAATCACCAGATATAATTCTCCTGAGCCCAGAGATGGCTGCAGGCGAGGGGAGTAAAGTTACGAGATTATTAATGAGAGAGTTTGAAGAGTTGGGGGAATACGATGAGGCAACAAAAAGAGCAATAATGGATTTTAGTTTTCATATTAGTATGTCAAATATGGATGAGGCCTTCAAGTCGATAAAATCGATAAAGAATGAAGCGGTCTGGAAGAGTCTGGCGAAGATGTGCGTCAAGACGAAGCAATTGGACATGGCTGTACTCTGTCTGGGGCACATGAAGCACGTTAGGGGAGCCAGGGCCATCAGGGAGGCCATTAACGACAGCAGTTTAAAACTTGAAGCCAAGGTGGGCATTTTGGCAGTGGAGTTGGGGCTCTACGCTGACGCTGAGAAATTATTTCGAGAGGCCAATCGTCTCGACTTCCTCGGCAGTCTCCTAGAGGCCTCCAACAAATACCCTGAGGCCATCCTCCTCGCGACCAACGAAAATAAGATTCGAGAAAAATTGAGCTATTATAATTACGGGAGAGCCCTGGAGCAGGAGGGGAACATGGATAAGGCCATTGAGATGTATTCCAATGCTGATTGTCATCGATTTGAAGTCCCCAGGATGCTTCTTAATCGACCCAGGGAGCTCCAGGGATTTTTGGCCAACTCTGACGATCCGTGAGTTAATTCCCGCTATGAGTGGTTGTATTAAAAATTTGAATCAATCGACTTTTCAATAAAATGCCACGGGTAATTGCACCGTAATTCAATTAACTGAAATTGAATCCTAATTCAATGGAATATTTGACAGAAATTTCTATCCTGATAAAGCACCTGAGAAAAAAAAGGGGATTATATGCGACGTGAGAATGGGATGATTAATGAAGTCGGGAGATTGGAATGCAAATGTTGGAATTTTGTGAGACGTCAAATTTTACAACTTCTCAAATGAAAATTTATGTACTTGCAGGGTGATAAAAAATTGGCATGCTCAGTACGTCGAGTCAACAGGTGACATGGAGGCTGCACTGCGTCTGTATGAAACCGCTAAAGATACATTAGCGGTAACGCGACTACTCTGTTATCTTGGTCGTGAGGAGGAAGCCTGTGAGTTGGTGATGAAGACAAATAATGCTGCCTCAGCTTATCATCTAGCAGCGCATTATGAGTCTCTGAATGTTCTATCACAGGCCGTTCATTTCTACACGACTGCCAGAGCGTATACGAATGCAATTCGTATTTGCAAGGTGATTTTAAAAAATTCTATTCAGTTCGAATTCCTTTTCACGTTTTTACGATTTATTTCTATACCAATCCCGCTGTGTACTGCATTCACTTTGAGCCAAGGAAAAATGTTCCATTATGCTGTGGGAAAACATTTGATAAATAAATCCAACAAATTTTAATTAGAAAAATTGTCAAAAAATTGGCGTAGCGACTGGAAATCTTAATCGAGAGCCTCGCCGTAGAAGTCTAATGGTGTCGACTGCAATGTGAATAGATTCAATAAAAACTCGATAAAAATAAATGTTTTTTTACCCCGCTCACCACATGGGGCAAAATAATGAAATTCCATTGTATTCTGGCCTTTTGAAGTGCTATGTCGTCTCTATCCTTTATATTCTTTATTTTTTTTCTCTTTCTGGTTTAATAAATCCCCAGTTGTCGTTTTACAGGAGCACCATATGACCGAGGAACTGTGGCCCCTGGCAATGTTGGCGCCCCGACAGACTCAGATCGAAGTGGCCAAATATTTCGAGGAGAATGACCAACCAGATAAAGCCATATTACTCTATCACAAAGCACACCTACTTCCAAAAGCCCTTGATTTGGCTTTCAATACTCAACAATACAGTGCCCTTCAATCAATCACACTGGACATTAACGCAGAATCGGATCCAGGTCTCGTTAAAAAATGCGCTGGCTTTTTTTGTCAAAATCATCAGGTCGACAAAGCCGTCGATCTCTTAGCGACTGGTAAAAAATATACGGAGGCCTTGGATTTAATGGAGGAGCACAACATCAATTTGACAGAGGAGCTGGCGGAAAAAATGACGATAATGAAAGTTGAAAATGATCCGGAGCGCGAGGCCCTGAGAATATCAATTCTGGAGAGAATTGGCGAGATAGCCTTCGACCAGGGTAACTATCATCTGGCGACAAAGAAGTTTACACAGGCTGGCAACAAGTTGCGAGCTATGAAGGCTCTTCTGAAATCCGGTGACACTGAGAAAATATGTTTCTTCGCTCAAGTGTCACGTCACAGGGACATATACATAATGGCTGGGAATTACCTGCAGTCACTGGACTGGCAGAATCAGCCTGAGATTCTCAAGAACATAATAAACTTTTACTCGAAAGGAAAGGCAATGGATCTACTGGCTAATTTCTACGTGGCATGTGCCCAAGTGGAGATCGATGAGTTTCAGAATTATGAGAAAGCTCTGGATGCCCTGAATCAAGCAGCCAGGTGTCTGGCTAAGGTGACATCTCCCAGAGACCCCGAGATCCACAAACGTGCTGTTGATATTGTCAATACTCGGATGAGCACTATAAAACGTTATTTGGAGCTGAAAAAGTGCTTCGACAGAGGTGAAACCGAGTCTGGTATGAATCAGGTACGACAACTTCTGGATACATTTGGCGAGGGTCTCGAGCAGTCTGTTAGACGTGGAGATTTATTTGCTACGATAACACAGCACTACGCAGACAGTGGTAATACTGAGAAAGCTCGTGCCGCCATTGAGGAGTTGAAGCGACTGGAACCAGGAATTAATTTGAGTTATTACTACAATGTCAACTTGCTCGAGGCACTTGGGTACAGAATGAGTGTTCCACGGAGAGAAAGTTTGGATAAAGATGATGGGATTGAGGAACTTTTGGGAGAGTAATTTTGCACACCAGCGAGCACTAGAGTACTCCATCACTTTATACCGATTCCGTCCACTTTTGTGATTGTTTTTATGTTATCATTAAGATTATTATTCTTCGAGGACTAATTAGGATAAAGCTAGAAGTGTTACCACGTCACTGAAATGAACCACAAATATATGAAAAATGACAATCAACTTTTTTATTATTACAACTTGATTTTCTTACTCATTATCTTATTCTAAATACACTCCAGTCATGCTTCTTCATGGCTCATTTTTATGCATAAAAATTTCCATGTTGCCCCTTGAATATATTTCATATCCTTTTCAAATGTCAAGTTTAAAAGGTCATCCTTGTGAGAATAACAACAGGAAAGTTATGTCTATTTTTTCTACGACGTTATAGTTCAAGTGAAATTTCAGTAAAAAAAAATTGGTTAATGCCATGTATTGAGAGGGACAAACAAATTACAAGTTTACTTTGAGGATATTCGAGGGAGATATGAAAAATTTCGTGCATATAAACCAACTGGATTGTCCCTGGAAATAAAGGGATTCAAAAAATACACAGAACACTGCTAAAAACAGTTGTTCCTCAACGAAGTACATTTTCCCATCAGAATAATAGTACGAAATCTGAATAAATAAACTAAAGTACTACCGCTATCATTCAGCAAACGAATAATTATCATATGGTTAAAACAATAAACATGAGGAAAGTTGAAACATTTTGTTATTGAAAAGAAGTAACTCACAACATTTTCGCAGCTTTATGCCTGCGTCTTATTAAAACCTTTCAGCAGACAACTCCGGACATTTACTCATGAGGAGATATGAAGGACGATTTTGCCTCCACGAGGAAAAAAAAATTCAATGCGCCCCCAACTCCTCTTCCTTCCTCTCACTCATTCTCTTTTCCTCTTATTTCCGTCCTCTCCTTTCTTTTTCCGCAACTACCGAAAATTAATTCAGTAGCGAAGAGATAAAGAGTAACAAATCGATGTAAGTAACGGGCAAGTTTTCAACGAATATCTCTGAATCTACGAGAGATACTGAAATTTTTGTAACAACCTTTTTCGTAGCTCTCATTCCGCTCCAAAAAAAAGAAAAAAAAAACGCTGTAACACGAATCTCACTGTTTTTTTTATATTCTGAGATATTCCTCCAAAACTCGACTAGGAAACAATTTGATAAATTACCCTTGACGTCTTCGCTAATTAACGATTCATGGAGTTTGTTTCTTACAGGGTGACGCAGCCTCTGGTTCGGGCTCCTCATTTTTACGTTTCTTCCTGACGAGGTGTGAAATATCACTAGCAGGTTTAGCGATTTTGGGTGATTCTGAAGTGCCACTGGCTGAAGGACCATCCGAGCTCGTTCCAACTCCATTGGTACATCCACCAGCAACTTTGCTCTTAATTCCCTCGATAACAAGTCTGCAAGCTTCTTGCTTAAAGTCCTTCATATCCGCGATTTTATCCTGAATCTCAGGCAAAAGTTCCTTGAGCTCACTGATCTCTCCCTCAACCGTATAAAACGGATCATCACTCTTCGGTGATTCCTCAGCACTCTCGAGTTCCTTTATCCTTGCCTCGAGTAAATTCGTTGCTTCATTGAACTGCTCGATACTGGCATCAAAATCATTACCAAGTGAATGAGCCAAACCGAGCTGATAATGCAACTCAGCCATTGCTCTTGCTTCACGAGGCTCAACATTCTCAAGAATTTTCAACGCCTTCTCAAGATCAGACACAGCCACTTGCTGATTACCACTCTCCATAGCAACTTCACCGAGAAGCCTGTGCGCCTCAGCCAGCTGTTTGTATCCACTAGGTCCACGTTTGAAGAAAACCATTTTAGCAAGTTCAAGTACTTCCCAAGCAACTTGAAGATCGATTCCACGTCCCGGGTCTTCATCCTCCTCCTCTTTATTAACATCCTCACCCTCACCCTCTCCATTCTGAATAGTATTACCATTTTTCTCGATACCCTCTCCATTCTCCATTCTCGATCCATTACTACTACTTGGTAGGCTCTCGCCAGCATTCTCAGGCTTCTCCACCTTTTCCCCCTCAATCTTATTGTCATCAGTTTTACTAATTTCGCTGTCATTCTCAGATTTATTCTCACCCTCTTTTGAGGCTGACGCTCTTTCAGTAGCAACAGTCACCTCTTTATTCTGACCATCTTCCTCCTTCTCATCCTTCTCATCGACACCACTCAACTTTTCATCATCCACTTCATCGTCCTCATCGTCCTCCTCATCCTCCTCATCACCCCCAGGTACACCACCACCGAGTACCCCAGTCTCTTCTCTGGCTAATCCAAGCAATGCACGACCATAAAGTAGATACGGCTCACCGAGTTCATCACCGCAATCTCCGTGTTTCTGGGATAGCAATTCAAGTCCCTCGGCAAAGGCTGTTACCGCTGCTGTGTAATCACGTACGAGTAGATGACGTTTACCCTGTGATATTGCCGCTGCTGGGTCAGTGAAGGGGGCTTGCTCTGCAACATCAGCCATCTGCCAAATTCATTTAAAAAAAAAAACCAAAGTAAAAATCATTGCAAACACAAATCCACAAGACAACATAAAATTGACAATTTAAAGCTAGTCCCCAACCCACCACCCAATTATTACCGGAAATTGTAAAAATACACCAAGTAAATTGCTCAAGAGGGGAAAAAACGAGACAATATGAAAAGCGTGTTGGGAATTCCCTACGAGGAGTCTGTATACGTGCTTCTCCAATTTCAGAATCCTTCCCTCTCTCATGTCTCGAGAATATCTCATTGGCAAAGGACCCGCGGTGCAACAATCAGAAGTATACCATGAATTATTCAAACGCCTCTAAAACCACCGACTGAGACTTTTTTCTATCCCTCAACTCCCCTCTCCCTTTCCCCCCACCCATGTATATTTCTTATATTCCTCAAGTCTATTTACCCCAGGTCTCTCAGTCCCTTATTTTTCGTTATCTGTTGTCACAGAAGAGCACTTGATGCAGAAGAGACCGCTGGCAGCATCCGTATGTTGCCGGACTTGTGCAGTCCTCCTCGATCCCTCCCCAGGTACAATAAATAAAGGAAAAAAAAAAAAGTCAACATGATTTTCGCGTAGAAGATGTGTATGTGACTGCGCGGTGTTACCACGGTCGATTCCACAAATGCTACGGCAACAATGCGCAGGGTGAGCGCATAGTCGAGAGTCAGGCGCGTAGTAAAAGCCATCGTCAGGGTGGGAGTAGAAAGCTTGATGCTAGCTGGTGAGGAGGGGGTATTTGTGCCAACCCCTGGTGCGGTGGGGGATGAATTTTTGGTAGCGGTTGAAGTTGTGAGATACTGTGAGGACACGAGTGTGATAGGGCAAGTGTTCAGTGGGCGCCTGGGCACCGCCGGAGATGGAGCCGTCTCGTGTACCCAGGGGTCCGGCGCCTCGCCTCCTTTTTCTCATCGCCACGCTTTCTCTCTCATTTGCAGGTAAACACACCGCCATTCATTTAATCGTATGAAAAAAACCAATCCGAATCTCTACGTGTATTCTATCAAAATCTATGAAATTAATCATCTCGGAATAGTGGAGTTTTTCAAATCGAGGGAATTCTACTCGGGGACATGTGTGTTCCAGTTCATGTGGGAATTTTATTTGCTCTACTTTTTTATTTGTCTGTGGCTCGATGAGACTCGATGCAATTGGTTTTCGATCACTAAAAGCATCGCCGATGTGAGATAGATAAAGAAACGAGGTGGACTGGGTTTCAGTCTGATGCTGACACGTCGATTTATTATCCTTAAATCTCAGTCGGATGTTGGTGGTTTCTTGATTCTTATCTTCACCAGCGGTAAATTCATCGTTATTACCGCGTGGAGCTAGATGACTGAGTTTCCGCGTCTTGTTCCTCGGATTTTTACTCAGACTCGATTAATTGTGATGTGACATTAATTCAGTTTGATTATAATTTCGCTATTTTTGTTTTTTTTTTCCAGCAACTTGTCTCCTGTGCAGTGCGATAATGTCAGATCACTGGGAGGAGATTGGATGGGACAAGCAGGACTTGAACAAAGCCAATGCCAGCCCCACGTGGTACTTGGATGGCCAGGTCGCGATGCTGGAGCCAATGGTGGATCATACCAATCGTTACATCACTGGACGACCAATTTTCCTCGTACCCATGCACGGTGGCATCTGGACAATGTGCGTTTCTCTATCTGGTGAGTTGCACCCCTTAATTACCCAGTGATTGCCGTTATTAATGAGACTTAGATAGACAGAAGTAGAGGATACGATAAGTAATGAAAGAATTGCACTGAGTATGATCATTGGAATCGAAGAGATCCCGGTTGGAGGAGGGAGAATAGTCTGGCATGAAACTGACATTTAATTTATATCATTTATTCGTTTTTCCCTTTCTCCATTTCATTCCCCCCGCTTTGGAGTCTAAAGGGTCTCGGGGTTAAGGGGGTTGAGGCTGCAGAGGGCTGGAATCCTCCAATCTGGCACAATGCCAGTTGGTTGGCCAATTTTCAAAGGAGCCGTCTGGAAAAACGTTTGCAACTAGTGAACCGTGACGCAGAAAAGGGGAAAGCGTATTTTGCTGAATGAATTTATATTACTGATACCCCTACAATACACATTCGACTGTCTTTCTGTGCGACTAACCGAGTTGTTCACTTGACAGAATTTTTCTTATTACTAGGTACTCGACTCCTCTATTTCTGCTATTTCGTGCGAGTATTACTGAGTATGTGGCACCTTGACTCCACTCGTACTATCGACCCACTCCGGGGGAGACTTAAGGGGCATCCTCGATTGCCATCTAAATATCAAAAAAATATCCACTGAGAATATTGCGTGACGCTGCTATTCACTTGGTTTTATCTCTACCCTCAAAGCTCTCTCAAACAATTCTCTACCTGATGTTTTATCCCCTCTGGAGCAAATCATCTAAGGTTAAATGCCCCCGGAAACATCTCTCGAGACACTTCAAAAAGCCCTCTCCATCGTCAATTTTCCTCTTCATCCTCGACAACTTAATAGCATCACATCCAAACGGAACGGCATTCAAACCCCACTAGCTGAAGTATAATTTTCCACCCTTTGATGTCTGACTAATGAGCTTTATCACTGTTAATACATTTCACCGCTTTGTAAAAGTGTCAACGAAAAAAATGTAGTTAATCCGACTGTCGAACGATACTTGAGAATTTTTGAAAAAAGAAATTTTTTTCATCGATTTTCAAAAAAAATGGATTTTCATCGATTTTCGAAAAAAAATTATTTTCATCTCTCAATTGAATTCAATTCTTCTTTGGACCAATCGAGAGATCCGCTACTCAGAACTCCCGAGTTTTCCCGAGATTTCTCACGAAAAAATTGATTTTCGATTTTCGAAAAAAATTCATTTTCATGGATTTTCGAAAAAAAATTATTTTTATCTCTCAATTGAACTCAATATTTTTTTGGACTGATAGAAAAGTCCGCTACTCATAACTCATGGAATGGAGGAATCATTAGCTGAACCGAGTGCTTGTTAAGGATTAAGTATTTGCGGGATATCCCATTCTACTTTTCACTTCGCCACTCGATTCCCGCTGTGAAAAATTCTCTGCTCATTCTCGCTTTCAAACTATTCTACCCCTCTAACTAAAACCTCATTAGGGAACGAATCCCGTATTTATTTCCAGGCGCTAATTGGAAGAATCTGCACGCAAATACTGAGTGCATCTATTTCTAACGCGATACCTTCATTTTTTTATCGCATATAAAAAAATGTACGTGCAGTGAGCAAAGGGTGGGCTTTCTCGTTACCCTTAGGTAATTCGTTCGTTCTGCTTTGATGTAAGATATTGTGCTATTTCATTCACATGCTCACTTGACTATTGTGTATACGCGAAAAAAAATTAATATTCCGAGATGAAGAGGATAACGACTTGGGAGACTCACAGAGTGATGAAGTGAATTTTCCCTCTATCAGGGAAAGGGGTTAAAGCAGCTCTTCCTGATTGACCTCATGCCAAAGTGCAATAAATTATCGATCCTCCGTGAAAGAATTGATGGGTACACAAGGTACTCATAGTGAGGCAAGAGACTCGATGAAGATAAATCAACTTGTCCTTTATTTACTTTTTCATTGCTTTTATCTTTGTCTTTGTTGTTGAAGCTATTCAGGATCTCGAGTGTTGGCGAAATGGGAAGAGAAAGTTGAGGGCTTTCATGAAATGGAGGGAAAAGAGGGTCCATGTTTTTCTTTTAATAATGCGGTAGGGCAAATGAAATTCATTTCTGTAATTATTTTTTTTACTAGATGTATTAAACGCTGGGGTGAGTTTTACGGCTAGAAATATATTGCGGTGAATTTGATGCCGCGGCAGGAGATTTAAACCGTAAAAAATATTGACCATGGATTTAATCCGAAAATTTGTATTCCAGGGAAGGGTTAATGGTAGATTTTTTTTCCGTGGGTGGACATAAAACTTTGAGTGGATAGAAACAATTTATCACGTTCTAGCAAGTTTTGCAATTAAATTTGTCAAATAGATTGTGACGTGGATGTCACCAATTTCGTCAACGTACACAAAGAGATATTAACAAACGGGATTAAGCATTAATTGAATAGAGAATTGTACATCGACGGTGCAATGTAAACAGATAGAATATATTTTGACATGTTAATTCAATAATTGCAATGAGTTTGAGGTTCATGCGATGTGTTGTATAGTTGAGGGGTACCTAATCGTGTAAAAGAGCTCGGGGTTGAGAGGAAAGTGTCTGAATTTTACTCTAACTCCCTCGTCGGATACGAAAAACGTCGGATTACCGTGAGTAACCCCTGCTAGGATTTTCATGGATAACCACGGAGTGGAGTAAAACTCCTTCACATCACTTCTCTCCTAAAACCGTCCTCCAACGTAAGTCCATAAAACTCTGTTTCACATCCATATCTTTCGTAATTTTTTCTCTCCATGAGAAACAATAAATTACTAATCACGACGACTATTAAGAGAAATATTGTGAATTCGTTAGCAAAATAAAGTGCGAAGTAATTGATCAATCGGGTTGATAAATTATTTCACTTGATTTGGTGGGAGTGAAATGCTGATTGATCCAAGCGAAATCAATTCGAGTCGATGAATTTATTATGCAAATATTTAAAAAATGAGTGGAGAATAGAAAATGAAGAAATAATTCAATTTTCCTTTTCTCAACCTTAGGATCGATGTTATCTCCCCCACTGGTATTCCTCCATTGGCTAATTCATGAGTTTATTATTAGTCCTGATTTAGCCTTGAGGCCAAGGACTTCACATTGAAAATATCGAGAAGAGCGTTAAATGCTGAAAAATTGAGGGCATCGACCATCTCACAAATCTGACTATTACGATATCGTTATTTTATATTTCAGATGAGGACATTCGTCTGTTGAGTCAAGTGGGTTTCCCTCAGGAACGTTGCATAAATTATCTGACACCCGACGAGGCACACGAGGAGATTCGTGCCGCCTGGCAGAGCAGTGAGTTCTCAACAATTTACCTCTCATTTCTGTCCAATTAAATCCCATTTCTCCCTTATTCTTTATTTAACCACAACATCATTTTTGCAACATGAAGCGACAAAATTTCAATTACATAAAATCTAATAACCGATATATTCTCAAAATTTTTTTACACGGTTATTCCATTTATGGTGGATTAACGGGTAGAAGATGGCAGTGGGGTAAAAAGTGCTAAAGGTTTTCCGGTGTGAGGGTCGTAGCTAAAAGCAATCGCACTGCCTTCTAAAAAATAGAGGTGTAAAAATAAAAAGTTTCAGGGAAAAGAGGGAGAAATGGAAAGAACGCCTCTTTATCACTGATGCCTCGAGGCTCGTTTAGTCGAGATTCCGACTGCCCGTTGACTATTATCATTCGCCATTTCAGACTCTTTCCGCAATCATGAAAAAACTTAAAAGGGTTTTCAATCTACTTTAGCATTTTATTACTTTTAATTCTTCCATTTCAACATTTTTTTTTTCTTTTTTCCTCCGCTATTTTCAATGGGGGAGAATTTTTATTGAATAGAAAATGCACTTTTGCTGACGTTTCACTCATTAAAATGAGGCCAATGCGCTCTATTGTAAATCACAGTGGATATGTACTTGTGTATCCGGACTTATGTACATCATTTTATGCACGTCATAAAAAACAATTCATATGGCTTTTCATCCGCCCACGCCGAGGGAATTAACTTGCACGCCAATTATAAATAGTTCATCAAATAAGCAAGTGGAAATTATTTTTTGTTTGCTTCCAATCTTTGTGGAATAGCAATGGGGCAAGGAAATGAGAGATCTGCAGACCTGTGATTATTCATTGATGAAAAGAATAAAACAATATCGGGAGGGAGAGAATAAAGGGGGAAAAGGGTTATATTGAAAGGGTACTCAACCAATCAGACGTATTACCACGAGCCGATCAATAATTCCAGAATTCGCGGGATTGATTTCAATTGTCTGTAGTGGATGATGCCAATCCGGTCCATTTGAATGGAGCACAACAAGAGAATGGCACCGGGATTTCAGTTACTTCCATTTTTATTTTTTTATTTTTTATTGCTCTCTGTACACAGGAATGCAAAATCTGAGTATTTCCTGCTCTATGGTTTGCCTCATCGTCCTCGGGAGTGCAGTTCTCGTGGGATTTTTTGGCCTCTGCAGGCATCAGATATCAGCGGTTCTTGTGACGGGTGTCATGTATCTTCTAGCAGGTGAATATCATTTCATTTTGTATGGGGGTGTGTGGGGGGAATCTGGGCTAATGAGCGCGAATATTGCTAAGGGGTTTTCGTGCTGTTAATTGTAAATCAGAGTGTGTTTTATTCACTCATTTTTCCGGGGGAAGAATTTTTTCAAGGATGCAACTCGGGGTTTATACTTTAAATTAAATTACTTTTAAAAAAGTCAAATCTTGATGTTAATGCTAAAACGTATCATTGGAAAAATATGAAAACCAATCAATTATAGTCTGAAAGAACTCTCGAAAATGGAATGTTCGATGGAATATTTATTTTATGTCGATTGGTATATTTTGTGGCTCTCATCCTGCGTATAAATGTTCGACGATGCATTGAATTTCTCTCCTGCAATGAATGGACGGTTTTTGTGGAGATTCAAATATTGGAACACAATTCCGATAAATTTATGAGTTATGAATGCGGATTCAACTGTCACGTACATGTCAAACTTCTTTCTATCGTGTCAGAAATTCATACTATAGAAAATTAATGATTTCATAATCATTGAAAGCGCCATTCATTCAAATTAGTTTTGTATTGGTTGATTGAATTCATTCCAACTAAATTAATTGAATCGATTGGTAACGACTGACGATTCAAAGGGAGGTATGCGTGTACTGATGGAATTTTGCACCCGCCAAAGGGAATATTTTCCTGGAAATTTACGTTAAATACTCAACTACAATTCACAACCTATTACAGAATAGTATTCCATGATTTCCCCAGATCACCTCAAATCACCAAACAGTCCGAATAATTTCGTAGGGATTTTTTATAAAGATTTTTCAATACAATACGAACAATATGAACGTTAATGTAGCTCAAAATTGAATAATCATCTGACATGAACTGATTTTTTGTAGCGACCTTTGCCCTATTCACACTGACGATAATCCACTTTAAGAGGGCACAAGACCGTAATGCCAAGATTATCGAGGGTCCCGAGGATGGAGTTATTGGTGGTCCGGTACCAAGAAATCTGCTCACAGCTCGTCGCTTTACAACCTCATGGAGCATGGATTTTGGATGGGGTGGTGTGACACTGTGTGCCCTAGCCTCAGTCGCCTGGATATTGCTCAGTAAAATCATGAGATTCAGTCCAATAGCAGCTATGATAGCGTAGCAGCGGGATGCCTTCGAGGTCTAATAGGCGAGCAACTAATCAGGAAAAAGGAGAGAGTGTGAACGGCCAAAATCAATGGGAATGCTCGACCGAGTGAGAATCAGGGGAGATAAATCCAACGAGCGAATTAAAAAACCTAGGCTATTATTTTTCATTCCTTTATTTCAGAGAAGATTCGGAGATTCGTGGCAAGATGGTAGATGGCTGGATGCAGTGGCAAATTATTCGGAAAGTTAACGTTTAAACCTCGAGGGCAATGCCAATTAAAACTCATTATTAAGTCGAGTGAGAGTTTAAGGATAAAAAAAAAATCAATTAGTCAGTTTTGCTTGGCTCAAGTACTGCACCGACTTTTGTACTGTCTTGGAGGATCGAGGGGAGATGGGGATATTGGTTGAAGAAGCAGAAAATGCAGAGGTGAGGAAAGTTTAAACCGTCCGGAATGACTGAAGAATGTGAGTCCGATCGATCCGGTGTGACAAATAATTCCAAGTGCCGCGCGCCACCCGCCACTTGCTTCCTCATCTATGGGAGGACAATATATATGTACTACCTGTTTCGTCCTCAGCTTCGCTCGTCGATTCCTCACCCTCTTCCTGAGGGGAGGCACAGAGAGAACCCAGTGAGACTGCTACCAGTCACATTCACTCGAGAAATCATTAATTAACTACCAACCTTTCTCAGTAAGCCTGGCAGAGACTGCGTTTTTTTCAGCTTTCATTTGGGTTCGAACTTTTCAAGAATTTTCCACCAGTTAATTATACACGCTCGAATAATAAGAATGAATTTAGGATTGAGTACCAGACCTCTGGAGGAATTATTCCGGTGAATTTTTATTACACGGTGTTATTTGAATTCCACATCGACGTAGCTCTGCCTTCCGTCCGGGCTACACTTTTTATTTTCTATAGTATTCATAAGAGCTGAAGTTAACTAGAAATGAAATATCAATAAAATAAAAAAATTGAAAATTGAATTGAAAAACAATTGGTAGTGTCCAATGATTTTTTAAGTGGACGCAAGGCTAGAGCTACTTTAATCGTGAAAGGTATTTCAATAATTAGAATTATGAGTTGAATAGTGAATTAATTGGCGCAATAAATACCGGCATTGTATTTCAATGGCGGAAAAATTAACTGTCGATATCAAGGACGCCCGATGAAAAATTAATACTCATTTCTCCGGATGATTGAATTGTTTTTCTACTCGACCGAAATTTTTATTATTATATTTAGAACGTGAAATCCAAGAGATAATCAAGATAATGAATTCGAGCCAGAGATAAACAAATGATGGAATTTTAAGTGTATTACTAAATGATAAACAGCTCGCCATGCCGGATTAGGCTTTTGCTAACAACAATACCTGCTAAAAATTTTTGTAATAAAATAAATGAGCAGACGAATGCGATTAATTGATGTACTATCGACTACAATAATAAACGCAAAGACTTTTTCGTGCTCGTTATTATTTCATGTGCCGTTATTCCCTCGTATTAACAGCGTCGGCGTTCTGTGTTTTCGAGAAAATATTTGCGAGGTTATGTCAGCCTCTCGATCATTGTTTTACGACACCCATCCACTATCTGAGAGACATGCATTGGATTTTCGATGAAACGAGGATGGAACACTGAGTCTCATGTTTTCCAGCTGAAATTTCGTATCCATCGATCATAAACAGAGGCTCACAAGGGCAAACAATTGTGTCCCTGAGTATGAATTTATGGGAACAAGCGGAGGTGAATTCACCCGACTTGATGCACGAGAGAAAATTTAATGATTCTCGATATTTGGAAATACCAGTGAAACATAAAAGTTTTCTTTGGTATATTTATCCACTGGGGAATACATGCGGAGATGAAGAGTAGATATCAACGTACCTTCAACGGTTCCCTCCAAAAAATCACACGTCTGTTATTTCTCGATGTTATCTCTGGACGCAGTCCAATCTCTTTGTCCTTCCCGAGGATCTGGCCACTGGTCGATATTTTTTCGATGATTGGCAATGTGAAGTTATGATTAAACAGCTGAATAATAAGTGAGCTTATTTTTCGGTGTGAGCACTATCGCAAAATGGACCGTTAATCGAAAAACTGCAGCTTTGGTGTCGAGCGTGCCGCCACACGTTTCACACATCACAGGGACAAAAATCTGGGTTAGCGCATGCGCCAACGGCTCTCTGCCATATTGACTAAAACCGCGCGCTCACTTTAACCGGAACACATTTGAAATTTCAATTTCCTTCCGGACTGTTTGGATAGGGGATCGCAAATTTTCAAGCTTTATTTGATGAGAATTTCTACTGGACGTTCATTTTATTAATTTATAAATTCTCGAAGCTTTTGCACATATTTGATCATGTGAGCATTCAGATGGACTCTCATTTATAGGATAAAGATATAGCGTATGTGGAATCCGTTTATGTTATAGGTATTTTTATCTCGATTTCATTTGGAAATAAATTAACATTTTAGAGACGAGTTTTTTAAGGTCTCTGAAAAAATTCAAGCGTCAGTAGTGGGAACATTTCAATTTACCGGGCGGGAAAATCGAGAACGATTAAATTAAATTTTCATTGCTAGTACTGAAATGTTCTCCCAAAAAAGGCTTTTTACGAATTAAATTGTTAAAAACAACTGGTGAATTGTGACTATTCTTATTTTGTGAATTCTTGAAAATGTTTGAATTCATGGCAGATTTTATCTAGTCGTGAAAATAGTTTATACCTCGTCCAAATGACCAATAAAATGTTCTAACGCTCTGTTTTCGAAGTTGTATTACCTCTCGAAGGAGTAATAAAATATTTTCAGAGAAGTTGAGAATAAAACACGGTGGAGTAGAAAAGGAAGGGCCCATCTCTTTGAAGATGAAAGGTATTTGAAACTCCGCGGGTCTGAGTATCTCAGCACTTCTTCGCCAAGTATTTATCCATTTTTTTCTTTCTCATTTGTATGAACTAGATTCGTTAAACTTTTAACACGTCTCGCCATATTCTTCGAGTTGAAAGTTACTCCATTTACCAATTCATGCAATACCCCTTTCCCAGTTAGTCCATCGTTTTTCTCGTGATTTTGCATATTTCCAATTTCATCAACCCCTCTCGCCCTCTTACGATGAATGTATTCCACCCAGGCATCCATAAAGCTCGCAAAAACGTCACACCAGTGAAGAAGTTGTTCCACTGAAAGGAAAAACGATGAAAATGTCAGACAAGAAAAAATGCCTTAGATGTTCCTATCGACCAACAGTTTGATTGAAGAGTTTCTGATGTACATGTTGATTTTTTTCTTTCCTTACCAAATAAAATGAGAGTGACAAAAGCAAAGGTTGTGGCCGGAACGAAAACGTAGGGTATCTGATTGTACGTCCATCTGAGGAGAGTAGGTGCCTCGTAAAAGAAAATTCCCGTCAGTGTATTGAACATCCAGGGTAAGTAAAGAAATGGCATTCCGTACTTTTCACCGATTGTCAATAAAAATGTTGATACCATCGCTGTTACGAATCTACCCATTGTCATTTTTATTATAACATCTGAAAAGGCCAATAATTTTTCACTGAATTCCACTTGGAAATTTCAATAGAAAACCCTCGCGGTTTTTCTAATAATTTTCCATGACATTTTGCAAATATCTTTGAAGTTATTTCTAATTAATTTGTCAGAGCGCTTCCTCTCAAAGATATTGACGAGATAATTAGTGCCAGTGAATTTGTGTCTATAATATAGTTAGAGAAGTGCAATTACTGTAAGACCGTCGAAATATGGCGCCGAAAGCAGTGGCCTTGGTCACCGAATGTCCAAGGGGCGATCGTGCTCCAACTTCCAAGGTGATTGAACTCAAACAAGAAACCACAAGACACATAACTCGCAAGTACCATGTTCTCGTCTGTAAAATTAATCCCAACTTTGAAGGGGGTTATAATCAATCAATAAACCCACTCCGATGCCACCCAGCTCACCTCCGCGACTGCTCTCCCCTGAAAGCCATAATTCACCAATACCGAATTGTTAATTCCATCATTCTTCCTCGTACCATCCAACTGATTCATCCTGACGCCTTGACAAATGAGACTTGGAATTTTTCAAATTTATCTCACCACTGGTGACAGCCATGATCCCTCAGAAATTCGTGAAATAAAGGAAGATCACGCTAACATATACAATCGAGACTAATTTTTCAATCCCAACGTGAGATATTAGTCACTGGTATGAATTTTCGATTTGCCGATGAAATAGACAAAAGACCTGGAGCCAATTGTGCACGGTGAAAATAGCTAAAAGTATGCCATCGAGCTTGATGTGTAATCCATCCAAGATGAGACGTATTAAAAAAACTCCAATCTCAACGGCAATAACGCACAGCTGCATAAGAAGCCATGGTGTATGAAGCATTGGATATCCCTGCCTTCCGAATATACAAGGGAAAAAACCTTTTAATGAATTTTAAACATAAATCATTCAACGAGATTATCCGATACTTACCGTCATAGCCCCCAGCATTATGAGTGTGTAATGCTCAATACCCAGTATTGAAGTCATGAGCTTCAGATCTCGTTCGACATTTGCTGGGACTTTTATCAAAAATTCATTACTTGCTGCATTTTATTCCACTCAAAAAAAAAAGCTTACCAACATCTGTGCTTCTGCGTCGCGTCATAAACCTTCCAGGGAGTTGATAATTCATCATTCGGATAATGTCCAGTACCGTAATCACCTGAAAGCCGAGCATAGGAAATTCTCATGATTTTCTAATGAAATCGATGGAAGAATAGTCAGGAGCATTATGACGATGCACTAACGGTTCCTATGAGTCCTAGGAGGATTACACACAGGTGACTGCCCATACTCCAGTGCTCGCATAATGTGCAAAGTATTCGGCCAACTCGCTGTGAGAATAACAGCCTTCAATTAGAAACTTATCTATTGGTTTAAATATTCATTGAAATAAAAGATGATGATGCTTTCTTACTCACAGAATAAATTTTATTTTAATATTTTGAGGATGTGGCTCTCCTAGCCAGAATTATCGGTTTTTCCGTTTTCTAATAAATTATTGATACGATTGGCGCGATTGCGCAATTTATTATTATTTAATATTATTCAAAATGACACGATTGCACTGCGTTTTTCCTAAACCTTTCCAAAATTCATAAAACTTTTAAAAAAACACAGGAAAATTACCGCGCGCTAATAAAACTTCATGTGTGTAAAATGATATTTTTTTTCGGATTAATCCGATAAAAAAATCGCCGGAAAAGTAAAAAAAAAAATCGGTAATTTTGGCTGAAAGGGGGCAGAGGGGGGGCAAAGGGGGCGAATGTTCTTCAAGCTATAAACAATCGCGCTGTTTGAAAAATTGAGATTGAGACAGAGACTTTCAACGAATTCAAAAAAATTGAGTATTTCGATAGGATTTTCATAATTCTACTTAACACTGGAATTATTAAAATGCCCGATGCATGTAGAAATAATTGAAAGTAACGGAAGTGGACGTTTAATCGATAGCCATTCTACCTCGAGTTGCAGTGAAATTCAGAGGGATGGACTCATACAGAGAGCGGGAATTTAACCAGCGGGCACATCCTGTCAAATTACGATTAAATTACAGGGGGTTAATCAAGTAATAGTGATTTCCAAAGAGTTGTCAGCCTACGCACAGGTTCGTCCGACAATCTTTAATTCTCTTTACTATTCCCAAGTCCATCCCTCATTCTTCATTAGTGAAAAATACAATTTTTAATAATTTTAGCAATTTTATCCAGTGCCCTCAACTCACCGATTTTTTATTCTTCTCGAAAATACCGATGAAACGACAGATTTCACATTTTCTAGAAACTCTCATTATTCTTAATATTCCGTGGGTTTAGTGGAATTATTAATGGCATCTAGTTTATGTTGCATTTACTGAATTTAGCCGCGAACGGATGATACAGATATGTTTGTCTGTTTTAAAGGTTGGTTCTGGAAATTAATCTCGCAGGAAAATTGAATTATTGAATATTATATTGGAGATATTTCAAAGCGGATAGGATTGGGGAGATGAGCGACGGGATAAGAGAAAGAGATTAAATTGTCATTGGTTTTCTGCACTCGAGAGATATTAATACCAATGGAGGCTATCTCACGAATTTTCAAGGGATTCACTCATCATTAACTTCTTCAAAATTGATTATCCTGCAATTGCTGATTTTTTTTTAGCACAATTGCAGATTAAATAGTGCATTCACCCGGGGAATTGATCCACAGAATAATCTAATCTACAGAATTCCCATAAAATTCCATGTCATTGGGAAAATTCATGAAATGAGCGATCAAATCGATGAGACTGGTTTCAATGAAGGACGTGTTAAGAAAGTTAAAGCAGAAGGCCGAAGAGCGTTGGTATGTCTTGATAATAAAAAAAATTAAACTCAATAAGCTCCTCCCGAGAATTCATCGAGTTTCCATCTTGACCAATAAATAATCCGTTATTAATTTTATTTTCTCTTCTGTTGAAAATGAAAACAGACGACGGATTGTAACGAGTGGGGAAAATCGGAAAAAAGAGAATTGAAAAAAAATCCTGAGCTTGACGGAATGAGTGGAAATGTCAAAGTACGCTCCAATGAAGTTTATCACACGATTCAGGGAATATTGTTGGCTTTTACAATTCTGGCACTGAGTTATCACGGTATGCGTTACGGACCCATTGAATATAGTCTGTTGGAAAATGGTCAGAGTGTTCAGGGGCTGGTACCACCACGAAAAGCAGTGGTTACCCTCAGTCTCGGATATTCGTTCATGTACTCTATGATTTCCTCTCTGGGTGCATTTATGCTTGTTTATTCTCTAGTATCGGTGAGTAAACTTCATCAGACTTCATCGTTGTCTGCTAAATGTGACAGGTAGTTCGACGGTGGCAGGGAGTAAGGATATTACATATAAATGCATTAAAATATTTTGTTTGCAGATGAAACCGTATTGGAGTCTACCCACCATTGTTCTATGCATTTCTGAAGTAGTGTGGGAAGTTGGCGATGCTATTGTAGCTGTTTGGCTCTTGTTTGCACGGCTCAGATTTACGACTGCTCTCACATACACCGCTGGTGCATCACTCGTTATTTGTACGTTGTCATATTGTGAACATTTTCTATATATATATATTAATTAATTAAAACTTTGGGATTTCAGTAGCATTATTGAAATGGGATTATTCATCTACAAAATTTTTCCTCGGGCAAAAACAGAAATTACAGCGCTCGGATATTTTCAAAACTTGGAATTTTGTGGAGAGGAAAAAATAAAAAATATAGTTATTGCTCAGGGGTTTTTATGAAAGAGGAGGTATTTTGTTTTTTCATATTTTTCATTCGGAATTGTCGACTCGTCAGTTTTGCAGGATTGTTGGGAAAATTTCGTGAGTGGTTTGTGATATTCATAGGACCAGGTGAATGATTTGAATATTTTTCGGTGAAAAAAAATGAATCGGAATTTAATTTCCATATCTGTTGGAATTTCGTCGGGTTCCATTGCGAAGAGGGGGATATCGTGTTATTTCCAATCGATCCAAATTTAAAATGGTGCTTAATTAATGGGGAAAATTTGATGAGTGACAGCGGCGTATCCATTCATTCTCTGAATCGTAACGCCAAAGCGAGATTACATTTCCTCGATCACTGCAAATTAATTCGTCATTGGAAATATGAAAGCAATGTTCCTGCGGGACATTCTGCATTGTTGCGAATTGTCATTCGTAATTAATTAATTAAGGGGTGAAAGTTAATACGTCTATATCTGAGTTCATAAAAATCATTCAAGTGACAAATTTTATTTTAATGCAGTTTAAAATTCCGTAGCAAAAATAATTCTTATTGTTATCAGAATGGACTATTTCGTTTACACTTTATTAATTAATTGTTTCAGTGGGAGAACTCTGGTGCTGGCTCGGAGTAGTTCGTCTCTATGAACTGAGATCTTTCCAATAAATCTGGAAGACATCAATTCTGGATATTCAATGCTGCAATCACATTCGACAAATAAAATTTCGAGTCTAAATTGGGAATGGCAGTTTTATCTCGAGGTAGTGGTAACGTTCATCTTCGATCTGTGAACATCCGCCGGGAATATCACAGGGCATGTAAAACGATGAGATATATTTCGAGATAGATTCGAGAGGATTTCCACGGTGATGCATTTCTCTGGTCTAAAAAATTCAGTGAATACGATACAATAATCCATGAATAGCCTGCATACCCATCATACAAAGGAATTCAAGTGTCACTCACTCAGCGCAGAACGTCTTATAGGATTCATCTACGATCTTACGTTCATCGTGAGATCCATCAGCTAATTTTTTTATAATTGCCTCGAAAAAAGCGTGACAAGGGACTGGCGACACTTGGAGACTTCCATCCGAGCTAATTGCGGCGCTCTTCAATGGCTTGCACAATTCATTCGATCTGCAAATGTCATCCACACCGGAGATGAACGATAAGAATAGAAATATTTGAATATGGTTTTTGTCGTTCATTCTATTAGACATTTGACTGTAAAAATTCAATGCGTTTGGATTTTTCTATTTGAAAGAAATTCAACAAAAATTATGGTTTCAATAAATTCAACTTTTTCTGAAGAATTTTTTAAAGGAATTGTAAAATTTTAAAGGAATTTTCGAAGGGTTTTTTTCTATTCAACTTTTAATTGGTGCGCGTTTGAATGGCCGAGTTAAGTAGATTACTAACTTGCAAAGATAATCCTTTAAATATTTTATGCGATTAACTTGCAGTGGATTCAGTGCAATTCCAGCATAATTCCACAGTAACTGAGATTTCACTGCAATCTCCAACAATCTTTCATCGAACTTTTCATACACTTTTCCGAGAATGGATTTTTTGAAAAGGGTTGAAGCGACAATATCGATGTTGCGTATATTCGCATATCTCTCTGTAAGTGCACTCACTGCGTCTTCTATGGCACTGAAATTCGGCATGAGTGAAGTATTGACAGATGGGTTCGGAGTCTGGGATGTACGTCGTTGAAGATTCACCATATATACCTGTGGACAGCGGTGCATATAAAAAATACTCCAACCCAGACATAAAAATCGAAAAACCCCACAAAACAGGAAGCTAATTTCAATATCAAACGGATTTTATCTAATCTCACGGATGACGATGAATGAAGGTAAAAAAATTAGTCGGAGTGCCCCTCGAAATAATAATAATACTAAACGCGGAACAATAATATGACACATTCAAATAAATCTTCCCTTGGAATGCGAAAAAAATCCTAATCGTAACTTTGAATTAATTTTCGAGGGCTGTACAAAAAGAAAATGTCACCCCATATACAAAATCAATGAAAATTGAAACACAAATATTATGATAAATACATTGAGGTCAGGAAATTGGCGTGCTGATGATTCAATAGCACAGAGTTCATCCTGTGTCCAGGCGTGACTGGCATGCTTGATGCAATAAACATTCGGGTATTCCTCAATCCCAACATTTCGTGATATCCTACAGTACCGGAAGTAAAACATCACTGTGAGAGTGGAAAATATTGATTTAAAAAAAAAAGGGTCAGACGATACCATACCGACACCTTGGATTTCTATCCCCTGCAAAGAGAATGATGGTGACAAATGTGAGAGCTATGAAAACAGCAGATACTATGCAGACTCTCATGAAAATACTGAACAGGTGGGCTTGCCATTCTGCCAAGTGCATTGCAACGCCCCTCATAATAACTGGTTTCAATGCTGAATGATAATGTTTATATTCCATATAATGGTCACCATCATCATTGATCATCAGTGGTTGAATTTCCTCGTCACTACCTGTAACACGAATTTATATATCCCGCATCCCCCTTCACTAATGAATATTAACTTTACCCCGTGTCTTCGCCATCACGATGAATTAATTGAACTGACATTTTGTATCACAGAGTGGGCCATTTCACGGAGGATATTAAACCAGTCAGCAGAATTTCACAATCAGTTTCACTCAATGGCGATTGCTTTGTCTCTTTATAAATCCCGTGCGAATGACACAAATTCCCGGTAAATCAATTACTTGCATTAATGCAACGAAGTCAGCAGCGGGTGCCACTGATTTTAATTTCAGCCCAAACACCGTGAAAATGTTACAAATATTGACACAATCTATCGTTGTTTATTTAAAAATATACAGAGATCATTATTGGCTTTACGTATCGCATATCTCATTACGTTTCACAAAGTGGGAATTTTAATTGACAAATAGGTGGAATAAATACGAGTTCTTCATTCATCTGTAGAAAATATTATTTTCCATTTATCTTCACATCACACTGAGTACAATTTTTACATTTTTCATTATTTCATTGCTTTTTCCAGTTTACTTCGCATTTTCAATTTAATACACATGCGGTTATAAATGTATGCAACAATGAAATGCAATGATATCGGCAAACAAATGATCAGTTTAATTTACATTTGCGCAAAAACTCGGTTGTAACAAGTTCACCTTCGATATTTTCATGCATATTTCCATTATCATAGTCCATGAATCACTTATAAACGTACACATACGAAAATGTATTTCCATCCTTTTTTTTTGGCTTTGAAATATCAAGGGTATGTGCGTGGGCGTTTGCGCATTGGCCTATATACTGTATTTTACCGGTACCATTGCATGCAGGTAATTGTTGAGTTACATTCTAGAAATTATCCCCTCATTCTTGCACATCACACGAGGTATTTATCCGGACCGGAAGTTTCTCCCTTCCTCCCAGTTAGAGCTCACAGGATATTGGATCTATACCAAAAGACTAAACTTGACTTTATCAGGAGAATCTCCAACAGGGATTTGCATAAAGCGATGGATAGGAAACTTTCTCAAAATATTCACCAAGAAAACTTTCGTATTGCACACATCTTATTACATCATTCATGCCATGAAACTGTCCAGCAGTTTCTTTTATTGACCTGCGTCCCATTTTCACATGTTTCAAAAAGCTATTTTGAAAATAAATACAATGGATAATTCACTGATAATCATCTCTGTCACAACCCTCGAATCACATTGATTCTACGTATGAAAAAATTTGGAATAAAACCAAATATTTGAATAGAAAAAATCACAAATATCGATTAAGGGGGAAAAAAATCTATTATGCTTTTCTTTATTAAATAACTGATGGAATCGAGTGAAAAAACAAATGGAATATCAGTAAAAATTGCATGCAATTTGAATTAATTCCCAACAAAAGTTCAAGTATATTTTTTTTGCAAGCGATTGGTCTTTCTATTGATTTTTTTTACACTTTTTTTTTGACTTTTTAAAAGTGAATAATTATATCTATTAAACCTACATAAAAACGTACGTCAAACACTAGTATGCGACACAGTTTGTTTACAATGACTTTTATGACTCTCTTTCCCACAGATTGTCACAATATCCTTGGTAGTGTCATCACTGTCAGTGCCGCTGCCAGAGCTGCTATTTCTCGTCATCGTGTGATTGACATCCTGGAGCTGTGCGTTCTCGTAACTCCGTCGATTCCGTGAAATAATCGAATTAGCAGGAAGTGGTAGTTCCTTCCTGAGAGACTCGGGGCTCGAGCCAGAGTGAGGGCTCTCAGCAAAACCAGATTCTGGCGTTAATACAGACTCAGATGGTATTGTAACGATAATGTCATTGGGTGAAACTATTGATTCCGACAAAGGTGTAATTGTGGACTGTCTTGACGGTGCATCACTCAGATTTACCAATCTCTTGGGTTTTTCCATTTCTCCCTCAATATGTGCTACTGGATGATAACGCTTTACTCTCACATCCGACATTTCCCTACTCCCTTTACCATTTGTCACACCATTTATATTCCTCCTCATTAAATTCAAATGCTCCCGGCTGCCAGTGTTCCTTCGTGATCCAATTAAATTTTCACGACTACCGACGTACAAATTCCTAGCACTTCCATTCCAGCAGTCTGGTCTCTCTAAAGGCACTAAAATGTATTTTCTCGAGGCACTCAGATTTCTCCTCGATCCGTTGAGCGATCTCTTCTCATCCTCGAGATGAGGATAATTTTTGTGATTAAGATTTCTCCTGGAGCCACCCAGCGATCTCCTCTCCTCATCCAACAGGGGATACCTCGGCACAGCCCTTCTGCCACTCACTGATCTCACAAAATTCTCCTCACGCATCTCCCCCTCCCTCCCCTCCTCCTCATACACTATTTCCCGGCTGTTTTTCAGAATTTCCCGATTAACTGCCTCGGGTAATTGATGAAGCTCCATGTCCCCCATCACGTGAATGGCATCTGGATCCACCTCAACTACTCTGTATCCCGAGTCACGATGAGATTGGGGTAATAAGTGTGGACTTGGCAAACGTTGCTGACTCTCACGAAATACTCTACTAAAATTATTCTCCTCCAGGCTATTATCACTTTTAGTGCTCTCAGTCCTCACCATCGAGCTCGAATTAATCCCCGGATGTCGATGATGATGGGAATGAGGGTAATAATGATGAATATCGTGATATGGCTCCATCGAGAGATCCTCGTCCATGGGAAAACCTGAAAATCCCTCCAATCTTCATTCCTACGTCTTACTCCAAGGGAATAAAGAGAGGAATTTTAGAATAATATAAATACCGACACCTCGAACTTTCAGACAACCACATCCCACTTATTGATTTAATGTTTTAGTGGATGAACTCAACCAATGACTTTTAACGTATTAATTATTACTATGCGCATTACTCTTAATCGACCGCACAACATGTACCCATGGCCCTCAACCCTCTCCCGCTCCTCAGCCCTTCTCAACATATTTTAAATTTAAGCTCCTGGGGTCTCATCAATCAGTGGAATGTCGATATGGAGATTGGGTGGTCCTTGGGACGATGCATCCTGGGATGGCATCACATAACCAGAGCCAGCGCCCTGTGTGTACGTTGTCAATATCACTGGTGGTGAGCGAGGCTCACTCGCTATTTTCCTCAGTCCAACAGCATCTATGAAATTATATCCAGCACCAATAGACAATGAGACAAAATGCAAGAATGGAGAATGCACGCATGAAAATTATTCATTGAAATATCTTGAGCTTTCTTGATGAAATTTACGTGGTCACCTTATATCTGGAGATAACGCAACCCGATGCATATCATGTTCATTAAAATTAACGTCAAAAGCAATTCTCATTAAACTCTCATTAAACTCCATTAGAAATCGACTTGAATTCTATAGAGGAAGCGCAAGGTTTTTCCACTAAATATTTCAATACACGTCCAAAATAACAACTACAAGTGTATTATCAAGCATTAAAATATAGCAGTGCAACCCCATAGTAAATTAGTTAATTTATGCGTGATACAAGCACCTAAATGTGAAACAGCTGCAGAGCTTTCGAACCAAATCCCCCGACAGCTGTTTATTTTCCTCATTAACACGAGATCTACGTCACTCGTTAATAATTTAAGAAGCAAACACAAAGGTGCTGAGATTTATCTGTTAAAATATATGCCTGTAACGATAAATTGTCAGCAATTATGTACAGAGCGAGTACAATTTAAATAGATAATCACCATTCCCATGACGCAATTCATCTTGCACACGATAGAACTCAGCTAGTTCACGTCCCGAGCACAAAGGTGTATCCACCTGAGTGGTTGTATTGAACAATGAATGATCCACCTCGTATCCCTGTCTCTCCTTGGAGTAGCTGACCATCGGTTCAAATCTGTGGCCCCAGAGTATCTCCTGGGGGAGATAACTCGAGCGTGCTTGAGTAGTTTGTCCAGTCGACTCGATTGTTCCCTCCAGTATGACAACCACCTCAAATCTCTCAGTCAACATATCCTCAGCTGACATAATGTAGAACGGTGAATTCGAATTGATTTTATGGATAATCATCATGGGCCAAATAAAAAAGATACTGCCATTGTGCCCATCAGTACCAACATCGAGCTCTTGCTGATGCTGCGCCATTATTTCACCCTCTTTAGTTGTTCTCGTGCGAATAACTTGGGCCCGCACAGTTGCCCCAATGATGTGCGATTTTCTCATATCAGCGACTCGAAACATTAGACTCAGTTCACCATCTCGCTGACATATTACAGCATTTCTGGAGAAGAGGAGTGTCTGTGTGCGCTGCTTGGGACGACTCATCTTTGCAAATACAATGCCAACCATGAATGCCTGGATCATCACTCCAGCGATACTCTGTATGCACATGACAAATATTGCCTCCGGACACTCCTCGGATGTTGCTCTACTGCCGTATCCAATGGTATGCTGTGTCTCGATGGAGAACAAGAAGCAGCTCGTGAATGAGTGGACATTGTGAATGCAGGGGGTCCAGTGATTCAACTCCTGCATCCCTGGGAGATGTCTCTCGTCGAAGTCACCATGGGTAAAGGCAATAAGCCACCAGATCACAGCAAAACCCAGCCAAGACAAAACAAAACTCAGGGTGAAGCACAGGAGTGTCCAACGCCACTGGGTATCCACCAGAGTTGTAAATATGTCCTGGAGAAAACGCAGGGAGCGGCGGGATATCCGGGACTGTAGGACATTGCATTCACCATTCTTCAGGACCGCTCGACGACGAATTTTTCGCACTGGGCCCGATCGATATCTACTCCTGTCAATTCACAGATAAAAATGCCAATTTAGTGCATCTGGTTTAAGGTCAACGAGTACTTTGTTTGCGATGATGACAGGCATTGATTGCAGTTTAGTGGGTTTATCATTCTGCAAATAAGATAAGAGTTCTCGTGGTGATGGTAATTGACGATAATTAATTGCGAGATAAATAGATGCACTAAACGTCAGAAGTTCTTTACGATCTCATCTAGGTAGAGAAAAAAATTTTTTGACTCCCAAGATAAATCCATCACTTTTAAAAATATTGAGATATTTTCGACTGATTCAATTTTTATTATGATAAAGGAAAATTCAAAGTGAAATTCAAAATTGATTAAAGTAAAAATGAAGTATCTAGTCTTCTGTCGGAAAATACTTTACGGAGGAAAAAGAGAAAAAATTACAAATAATGAGTAAATATGAATTAAAAACTGCAACGGTAGAAACAGCATGTTCTCCATTCGAGAACCCGAGTTTTTTTTCAAATGATAAATAGCACTGCCTACTTTTAGTGCAATTGCCTGGAATGTAGTACAACAATTACTGAGCTTCAGAGTTTTTTCCCCTGACATTAAGAGAAATACCCTTAGAGTAAGTGAAAATGTAATTTATTCTTCAGACCTCATGCTCATGAATTTTCATTACCACAGAATCTAAGGATCAAGCGACATTCCCGTAAAATAGAAAATCTTTTTTTCTCCCTCGAAAAAGTCTCCACAGGATCGTCTGCAAATTGGCGTATGCAAATCCTGTCAATGACTATTCAATAAATGGATGACGAGTGACACCCAGTGTCTCTTTTCATTGTCCATTTGCGTACAACTAACCGGAATATTATTGTTATAACGACATCATTATGGACACGATTCAACATCACATGCCACCTTGAAGAGACTTAGAAATGAAATAAAAAGATTTATTGTTCACCACGAGCTGCAGCCATAGTTAAACACCATCTCATAAATTTTCTCGTGACGTATTGCTACTCGTTACATTTGATGAGGGATGAACCTTGGCCTTACCCGTTGGCTTCTCCAACTTTGTAAATACATATTTATCATCAAAAACCAACGCTGTTAACTTAGCGTTACCGGGGCTTAAGGCATCACCAAGTTTTCGTGAATAAACGTGTGTAAGTACAATTTATCATTGCAAACCTTCCACGAACATGGCACACTGCTGAGCTGATGGAGGGCACATATCGTAGAGGCAGTGACATAAAATACTGGTGTACAGATAAGCTTGGAAAATAGGCGAGTCGACAAACCTCAAACCAAACTACTGTACCCTTCCCAATATTTGTCCCCTTCCTCTAGCATTCATCTCTTCGTTAGTACCATTCCCCTTTGCAAATCTGAGTTCAAACTTTCAATAGCTCTGGCAACCGTTTATTGGAAAATTAATCCTCATCCGAATTGATGAGTTCTTATTTGTTCCCTTAATCCCTACATTTGATACCGCCATGATTGTTCTTGGCAGATGCGAGTGCACGTTTTATCGATGTTCAGTGATAAAAAAATGATGATATCATCCAACAAGTATATCTTGATTATGATGCGATATAAATTTTTCACCATTTCTCTGTGTTACAGATAATCCCTGAGGTAAACGAAAAAAATGGGGGACTCGTATCGCGGAGAGAATCAACTTGTTTGGGGGAATAGTTGCGGTGTTAATTGCGGGGTCATGACATGTAAGTGATTTATGTAGATCCGTATTTCTCCGGCACTAGAGATTAATTACGGGACGCATGTCACGATGAGATTTTCTGTTATGGTTTTTTCCATTTCGTTGGGAGTTTTAAAAATCCGTAAATTTCGATCTCTGGTTTTTTTTTTAAGGCAGAAATTACGAACGAATCGATGAAAGAGTGGAAGATGAATCGTTCAACCGTTCCATTAGCATATTCTCCGAATTGTTAGCTGATGAATTATGTCTTCCAGGACTCAATACATTATTCTCTTTCCTCTCATCTCGATATACATTAGATCTACGTCGTATGAATAATAAACCTGTCAATATGAAATTTATCATTGTCATTAATTAACAGTACTAATGACATGCTATTTCGATGTTGCTCTTGGTTTCGTACGGCACAGGTGGGCAAATATATTCACATTAGCGGCCATTAATTGATACCTTCCATAAAATGAAGACCGTAGAGCAATAAGCAATAATCGTGTCAACAAAAATGTGGACTGACGGCTATTCCTAATACAATGGACATTTTTAAAAAAAAAACTGAACTTTGCGGAAAATATCATTCAATTCGATTCAAAGATAATCACGATTTTTCAACGGAATAGTGATTAAAATTTCAGTTTTTGTGAATTCCTATCATCATAAAAAATCATTACCCTATTAAAAAATATGGCTGAATTTTTCACCCAAAATACCCGGAATTTAATTCAAGGGGGAAATGTTTCATGACAGAGAAGATAAAAATTCGATGAATTTCGTAAATTTACAACATGAATATAAAAATTAATTTTTCCGGTGGAAAATTTCCAAATGACGTTTTAATTGTATCGAATTCTTTGAGGGAATTCATATAAATATATCAGTAATTCAACAAAAATTTTAGGTTTCAACGAAAATTTCTGTGAAAAAAAATAATAAATTTGAAATAACGATATTTCGCGAAATTTCGCGATATTTCGCGATATTTCGCGGAGACTATTAGACGCTCGGTATTTCAAGGAGACAGACAGGAAAATTCAGTAAAAATTCAACAACTTAATATTGAATGCAAGGTGTCAATATGTACCTGCTCCTGAACGACGGATTCGGACTCTGGCAATTGCTCTTGGCAACTTTGATGACAACCGGAATTTGACACTTGGACGGCAGTAATTTCTGATCATCACCACTCTCTGGACCGGCCGAATTGCCATTATTTATTTTACTCTTCATATCACCATTCATTTCCCCAGAATGATTATTATTCCCCATGAAACGTTATCTCAAAAATAAACGACACTGTTGACCTTTAAATAAGTACGAAGTAAAATGTCTCAGTAACCTTGATACTAGATAACTCAATGCTCTCCAGCAAGACCGAGATAATGACTTATTGATCCAAGAGGCAGTTTATCGCGTCGAATGCGAATCGCTGAGAAATTGGGTCAGGTGCACCACCAGGAACTCTACCCATCGACCATGAGTCTCAACTGAATATCAACGACACAAGAGCCAATCTGAATGTGCCCCAGGTATTAAATTATCTCTCTTCCTTCTCCACCGTTTTTTTCTCTCCTCAAAAATGCTGACAATTCCTCCTATATCCTTTGTTATGAAAAAAAAGGAAAAAAAAATAACAAAGAGTAATAGCTTCAAATATCCGAATGTGCCTATCATGTGCAATATAACTACTGGAACGTGACAAAACTGATACTGTTCTGGGGCTGGCATGTAGCGTCTTATATGCTCTTCCAACACCTGACCACTGACGGTCACTTATCAGCCACTAAGCGTCCAGTTTGCTCTTGTTATTTGCGAAAAAAAAATCGCCATCCAACATGAAACATCCAGTGTTTCTCCGTGTACTCAGGTGTCGTCATCAAAAGATTGACAGCGTCCATTCCTATTTTTGCATTTGACACTTGCACTTCCACTTATCCAAGATCTATCCCTCAAAATAATTCCAATCATCTCCATCATCTTGCTGATAATAAATATAACAATTTTCCAACTATCATATAAGATCTTTCTTATCATCCGAGAGAAATCAAACTAGAACGTCACCACTTGTCACTTTGAAGTGGCTCAAGTACTCTCTGATAATTGTTTGGCACGATGAATGGCATCTGGATTGCACCTCGAATTGGTATCATTGAATAATACCATTTGACAATGACAACACCGAAAAACGTCAGCGGCGACAAGACGCAGACGACTGACAAGGCCCGCTGTCCTCCTTATCACTGTTCACTCGCACCTATCTCACAAGACTCGTCGCTGAATTGTTATCAAGAGATGAAATGATTTCTTTGGCAACTTCACCGTGAATCGCTGATTACGCATCTCCGATTAAACCACTACGAAAGACTACGCTGTAACCCCAATAAGGTATGTAATTCCCCAAAGTACATGAAAACTCAGCACTTATAAAATAATCGCATTATTTATCCGACTTCTGAATTCGCCCCTCTCGGAGGTATCACCTGAAACAGTCACAATTCTCTCGTCTTCTCGATTCACTCATCTCAAATTTCTAATGACAACACCCAACCGAACGAACTAAAATGCATTTTGAACGATTTAGCGATCGGATTTGATACCACTCATCCGCTATCACCCACCTCCGATCAGACCACCGGAAGTCAACGATTATACAGTGCCACGAGAATTACCGTTCTCTTTGTTAATACATTCGCACTCAATGCTTCGTCCGAATTTAAAAAACAACTCAACTACATCAATAAAAATAGAAACAATTATGTATTGGCAAGTCATAACTAACCAGCCCTGAAAAGTTGGTGTCTACAGATGAAGAGACGGAGAAAATCTGTCATATCAAGGGATCCAACAGAATGGGAGTGCCCGGAAAGGGTCGATCAACGTCACTACCAGATTAGACCCGAGAGAGAATTCATTTATTCTCTCCCCATTATCTTCTCCCCCATACAAGCCATAAACAATGTAATTATAGAAGTAGCGATAGAGCATAAAAAGGAGGCAGAATTGAATGATTCATAATCATCGTCCAATATCTTGTCCTGAAACCCTCTACTCACCGCTACTGCCAATTCCTCAGTTTATTCCCGTGATTGTTCTGTCCATTACGCGGAAGAGAATGCAATTGGTTATCTAATTATTCCCTCGACCCAGAGATAAGGAAGTGAAAAAATTCAATCTATAATATATAATGAATTTCGTTTGAAAATTGAACGCAATTTGAAGTTCAATACTTTCCCGGAATATTCTCGATTTATCATTAATATTAAAAAAAAGTTAAGAAACCTAAAGCCATCATGAAAAATTCTGAATAATTCAGTATAAACATCACTTGCTAAAACAATGAAAAACTCATGGAAAATTCAAACGTTAAATAATCAAGAGTGAAGGATTAATTCAGCTTCATCAGCCTAAAACCTGACCCTTTCTACCTTGTGTAATTGCAACCAACCAGCTGTCTCTTCTCCTTGATACAATTCTTCTCCTACCGAGTGTTCGTCTCGTTGGCGATGTCCTGACAATGCCAATCCTCGTCGCACCCTGTAGGAACCTGTGTCCTCCGTATTTACAGCCATTCGACATTCTCCCAGTAATTCTCTCGATTTGAATTCACTTGTCCAATCTCTATTCTTATCTCTAGCACAATACGTTGCACTGAACCACATGAGAGACCTCATTATTCAGCAATTGCAACCCTTTACCGTTCACTCATTCACCCATGATATTCTACGGGTGAATTAATTTCGGCTTAATCGTTTCTAGTATCTGCCATTGTTATCAGATTAATTTGGGATGCTGGACAGGTGTGACTGTCTAGCACTAATGAACGGATGGAATAACTCTAAATAAACCCGACGTACCAATCATGTCGTGGTCATGAGAGACTCTGATGATTGCTTTTTTGTTCGTCGATGATTGTAACACTATGACGAGAGCTGCAGGACCGCGTGGGGACGGATTTAAGATAAGGGGGAGTTGTTGCGATAAATGGGACGAGACACTCGCGATGGATCACAGAAGGCCAGGAGACATTTTATTATGACGGCTCTTCTCTTTATTGTTTATCACAGGCAACTTTTCGTGATTATTTTCTCGATATTTTTCGGAAATTTAGATTGACCAGATGATATCACGAAGCGTGCTGTCTCATGATATTATTTATGTTGGTTCTGTTGAGAAACGTGATCGCGTTGCGTCTCATCATTTAAATAATCGTCATTTTCCTCTCAGTGACTGAAAATTCATCTCGACTATTTGAATCTTTTACTTTTTTACTTGATGAGGTATCTGCTATCTGCGCCAATGATCGGAATACAGTCCAACGGTCAGTATGAGAGTATACATTTTTGATTGCACGCCTCTGATCAAATGCCACAGCTGTTAATGCATTTATAATGAGTCAGTGCTCGAGAATAAAACGGTTGAGTTAACCAACGGCATGTTCGGGGATAATCGCCGGGATTTTTCAAACGAGTGGAGATTACAGTGTTAAAAATTTTCCATTGAAATTTTCAGCGAGATATATAATATTTTTATTAAATGCCCTAAGTAATTTTAAAAAAATACATAATGTGTAAAAGTTTTGGATATCACTATCATTATCATTGAATTTTAGGTTTCGATTAGTAAATTCTTTATCTCGCTCAAAACTTTCTATAAATGTGCGTGATTTCCGTTTTTTGTTTTTTTTTTCGAAATTCAACAGCGAAGTGGCACATAAAGCGATATTAAATCAATTTCAGAGTCGAAGAAAATATCGATTGATCAAGCTGCCAGGATAGATCGATAATTATAATAAACCCGCGATATTTGAAAAATGAGTACGGACATGGAAATTTTGTGAGAAAATTGGAGTGAATTATGTCGAGCGACGCTCATTACACCTCGAAATAACCGAATAACAACGCCACGGTGTCATCTGTCAGTCATGAAAGATAACGTAACGGAATTTGTGTGCGCACGACAGTGTCGGCAACAACTCAGAAATACTGAACAGTATCCAACAAAATCACAACAAATTTCTCCTCCGAGTGCAATAATAATTATCAAATGTCCATTAACTCCGCAGTTCAAGTAAAAACTCTCCGCTAAGGCAAGTATCTGATAATCAATTTCCAAGCATCGCCGAGTTGACAGATGTGTATGCGCAGCATATTACTTCAACTTTGAGTACCGATAAACCTTGCTCAAGGTCGGAGCAAATTGCCCAAGGTGCTGGTTGTAGAAATAAAAATAAAATCAAATAAGTGCGAGCAAAAACCGGTTAAAAATACAGCGAATCGTGTGGCGCCTGACTTCCTAGTTCCACACAATCCATTCCGTGAATTGAGATGATAATTCGTTATTGCATTATTAACAGCCAACGTCATCAAATGCACACATTACGACAATTGACTAGGGTCCAACAGTCGTCCAATAATCATTGAATAACAAAATGAATAGGAGAAAGAATCTGAAAATAAATAGCCTCCCAGACTCCTACCTGTACGAGTCCTGTCGTCCAACCCCACCGATGCTGCTGCTCTGCGTACTGACTCTCACCAGGGTAACATTTCTGGGTATTTGAATGGTAGCAACATTTTTAGGGGACAAAAGCGGTGAATCAGCCCGCGGTGGATTCCCAGTACTGCCACGTGCCTCGGTTTCCTGCTCCTCCTCCTCCTCAATCGTTCCAGGCAGCTTGAAGAGCTTCTGGGGTTCCTCCATTCCTCACCAATCAATACCACTAATTCAACTAGCACCCCCAAAATCATTAAGTCCATAAATCCCAACTCTCCTTATCCTCTGCATAATTAAAACTCCGTAGATTATTTTTTCAAGCACAAATTGCTGATAATTTTCCAATAATCGATATATCCTTGATCATTGATATGGATAAATAATAGCGAACGGCGATGAGAGGTTTGCCCGGGCGGGCATCGAAATCACCATGTGCATCATTCCTCTTATCTCATCCAAATAATCCTTAGATCGTTCGTCATAATCTCAACTGAAGGCATTCCGAGTGGTTGAATCTGAAATATGAAGAAATTGTCGTTTAACGTTCTCCCAGACAAGTGTTAGAATCGCTGACATCAACTGGTGTTGAGTAATAATACAGAATGAGAACCACCTAATCTTGTCTTTTTCACAGTGAATGCACGAGCTCAACTGTTTGAGATTCTCGCCGGCTGCACACGCTATTGTGCCAACGGATGCTCATGGCTTTTCAGCCCATGTGGATGGCGGGGATACGGTTCGTGCCACCAACGCATCATCCAGCCTCGGTGTGTTGGTGCACTCCGATGAGTCCTACCAATATTCCTTATACATGCACACCTTTCCTTGCAAATTCAATCACGCCTTATAAATCCAACGCTTTTTTTATTCGCATTTATCGCTATTTCAACCGGTTGTCCGTGAGGTTTACGGGAATATCGTCGACTCTACGATCGTCGTTGAGAGGATTCTCTCTGGAGTAACGGACTATGTACATTCGCATATTCAAATATAACAAATTTTTTTTTTTTTAATTTTTCAACTCGTGCCTGAGAGACTAGCAAGTGTGGCCGGCACACCAGCAACAGGTTGATATGCGTTGGCGGTCGGTTTATAACGGACCATGAGAACCCGCACGATATACTAAATTGAACCACCATACCAGGTTTATTTGGCTTTTTATGAATACGAGAAATAAATTTGCCATTCTCTCCGTTTAAGCATATGAAATTTGCTCATTTGAGATTCAATGAATTTTTATGGATTTTTTTATTATTATTTATTATTATTATCATTCATTTTCGTGGAGAATTGCTTGAATTTTAGATTTCACTTTGAAAATTAAACATTACATTTAATAAAATTCCAAATTTTGTAATTTTGATTTTCATTGAATATTTGAATCGATGAAATTTACGTGAAATTGAATTTATAAGAAGCTGTGAGTCAGAGTGTGTGGAGTCACATATTTCGAGAATTAATTCGCCTGATTACCAAGTCATTTAGTTTCTGAGAAAGTTTGCTCTCGACTGATAACTCGAATTGAAGTCTTGTCGGTTTTTATGAATCACACTGATTTCATTCAGCAATTGACAACTTCTAATATTTATTCTGTTCTCCTTCTCTCAACTAGCGCTTTACATCTCGGTGTTTTATGATGCATTTGCATAACTCGCCGTATCTCTCGGGTTTTTATAATCGAACGACTTTTGCTCGTGGCATAAACTTTTAGAATAAACAAGAAAAACCGCGGAATTCAATCAACAGTTATTTATCGCATGTCACTGACGAACTGGAAAGTCAATGATTTTATTTATTTCTGTAACCACACGCCATTCACCTCATATGAATGAAGGCATTGAGTGTTGTCCTCACTGTTTCACCAGGTCCCATCCCCTTGCCCCACAGGGATAATAATAAAAATATATAAATGAGTGAATTCCGGGCATAATTGAGGTCCCCGGTACTCTGAATTTTCGTATTCATATTAATCAACAGAAAATTAGCGCGCGTGTTCAGGCATAATGGCAGAATGTAGGCCGACACGCGATCGGATGTACCTTCCATTCCCCCAATGTATTTATTATTTATAATAACGCCTCATCTAATAAGCTGAAGAAGTCAAACGGATGCACCTCTATTACCACATTATTCTCTGGGTAACAATTAAACAAACTACATAAGAATTTGCTTACCCTGGATTGAATCAGATTGCACTTCTCCGAGAGACAACACTTGAAGTGAAAATTCGAATAAAAAATGGGGTGATGAATTCGAAAGGGTCTCGAAATACTTTAGCCCCAGTTATGGCCTGCGTCAAAGTCGAATCAGCAACTCGTATCGATTCAACATTTTGACCTTCTATTTGAATATAACCAGCTTGGCGCCAATATTGGCCCGATACGCACACACACGATACACATTGACGTACACCTTCCGCCGACGCTCTCAATTCCACGAGAAGCTAGAAACATGCCCTGTCACAGTAACCACTTGACATCAAGTTTCTATTCGATCTTTCCAATGGTTTCAATAGTCTCACAATTTTTGGGGCCACCATCGTGTATATTCGATTCGATTTTTATTTATTTATTTACTTTTATTTCATTTTTTTAAATTTTTTTACAGACCACTCTTGACTGGATTATTGTTAGCCATTGAAAGACTCGAGCGATCAACTGTAAAAAAAAAACAGCGATAAAAGAAGGCGGATACCGGCAAGTGGAATAGTGAAGGTACCGTCTCCTTCAGTGACGTCGACGTCGTTCCACACTCGGCTTTAAACCTTTTCCCCTCTCCGCAAACAACTTCCTCAGCCACAGACACTGACACATACTTTCAGAGGTTTTTTCATACCATTTGTACTTTTGTTTTTCTCATGGCTATTTATGTAGTTTATTTTATACTATCTATCCTCAAGCAGATTCACCAGATACTCATTTTTTAAACAAATTTTGCTCGAATATTTGAGCATGAGAGATCTTCCACGTTCGAGACCTTCTAATGAAGTCAGTCAATTGATCGTTTTCAAAAAAATCACTCTCCGGCAGTGTGAAGACCTGGACAAATTTATTGTCGCGTTTTTTTCAGTTCATTTTTATACCAGAATTGTTTTTCCCTGTTCGCATAATAATTTTTTGTTACAATCATTCAACGTTTAATTTACCATTTAGTAATTCTCTGATGTAACGTCTTAAAATTTTTTACTTCGCGGCTTCATCAACTTGCGCCCTTTTTTTTAAAGCTCTACTAGAATTTCCCAGGGTAATTTCTCTTTGTGTACTTGAGCTGTCAACTCCCAGGGCAAACGTGTCGGTTGCGTAGGTTTACCTGGGCGATATTCAATCAAGTCTGTGTCAGGTTCGAAAATGAGATAAGAGCGGATAAACAGTCAGAGATTACCATTTATCACTGTTGCTTGAATTTTTAGTTACTATGGGACAGGGGTTTGCTTTGTTTGTTGAGTGATTCGTCGTTTATTCACTGAGAATTACTAATATTGACGTTGAAGGAATTACAACGATACGTGTTAACTAGAATATCGAAAAATTACTTTGGTAGCGAATAATCGTTTGCAAATTAAATGGTGATATCCCACATCAATTCTCTTTGCAAAATAAAAATATAACACATGATTGTTCGAATTTTGTTCGAATTTGAATGTCAAAGAAACAAGCTGAATTATTCACATCATCCAAATCTCACTTTTTTCCTCACAAATTTTCTGCGTGAACTCGTTACTTCTCATAAAAATTTGCAATGAAGACAAAAGAGAAAAATTAATTACTCAGAATTATCTGGGAAAGTAATTGCTATACGAAAAATGATTGAATTACTTAAAATCCTTAATTAAATGTTTTTTGTACTTCATTTTGAGGTATTTAATTCCTTGCTCCTGGAGCACTCACCCAGCCCTAATCACTCCATCGGCGAGACAATACTGAGTACCTTGCAGGTGTGCTAAAAAATGGGTGGATATTATGGGCCGCTGGCTGAACGATTGCCTCTCTTTATCCCTTTTATTTTTTTCATTGCTAAATCGTTTCTTCGTAAATCATTGAAAAACCGGTTTCGTGGTGCTAGCTGAGTAATTTCTCAGGTAAAAAATTAAGAGGACCCGTGAGGAACGAATGACGATGGGAGAAAAAAAATGAGAATTCGGAGGTTGTGCTCTGGTTTCTGACGGATTGAATATATCAGCTAGGATTTCCTAGGTAGCTGTGCATTTTTTTTAAACACCTAATGTATTTTTTTTCATCCGCTTTTTTACATTCATTATTATTCACGAGTCAATAAACCATTTCATGGCCAACGAAGACGAAGTCAATAAAGTGTGTCTGACTCTGATATTGTTTTCCACTTGGATAAATCTTTGAGATCGTGAACTGCAGGAGTGAAACGTTTTGTGACAATATGAAATAGAAAATTGAGCAAATAAATCATGAAGTGCAAGATTAAAATTAATCATAAAAATTTTCAATACCAGTAAATTGATGCATTTAATAATTTGCAATTGCAGATATTATCGGTGAAGGATGGAGTGATGCCGAGGGGGAGGAAACCGAGAATATGATCCTTTTCCGGGTGGGATTAATCACGTTTTACTGCTGGTGGCATCAGTGATTAAAGACTTTTTTTCAAATTACAATGCACTTCCCCTGCACTCGCGATTTTTAGTTTTCGCGAATTCCTCACAAATACGTGTGGGAGGAATAAATAATGACGTAGAGGGGGTGTAAGAGAGCGTCGATGAGTCAACGCCCGTCATATCCGTGAATTTGTAAGAATAAATCGAGGATCACAATACAAGATATCTCTCTCAATCTCTCGGACTCGGTCAATGGATGACTCATGAGCTCCTCCATGAGCTCCTCCATGTAATGGTTAATTACTCTAGTCTTGAAATACAGGAACGTCATAGGTGGAATAAAAGAGGCGTAATGAATTTGCATGTCTGCAGGAATTCAGTGATAATCCTAGCGGATTTACTCGGAAATTTTATACGAGACCGAGAAAAAAAAAAGATTGTTAATTTTCAGGAAAAGTTACTTGATACTAGAACTCTGTATTAATGCAAATTAATGAGCATGAGATCCGCAAATTAAATGACTTTTTTATTAGCCCTAGGGACATTTCAGAGAAGTCAGGAAAAAACAACTCTGAAGCTCAGTAATTATTACTTTATGTTCCATGATAACTTCATTCTATACTATCGTAGTGTGAATTAAGGAATTTTATGCGGATAGTGCTTATTATTGTCCACCGTTGATGAATTGATTTGTGTGTAAAAATGGTCTCCGAATTTAAATCGACTCGAGCTGACAGTACGCGATTGAATCATGAAATCCGCATATGAGCCCGAGGTCGCGGTGTTTTCGTAATTGCCCAACGCAAAGCAATACCGTCCATTGTCGTTGGTAGTGTCGTATCATGACCCGAGACAATGTCAGAAGCCACAGACTGGAAAATGTGCAAACACAAACGGCAAACGCCCGAGGTCATATCACAGGGGATTCACCGTTGATTGTCACAGATTTAAGTTACACGAGAGACTGCCAAGATCCACCGCAATTACACCGAGTCCACCAGAGAACAATAAATTTCCCGGCAATTTAGTTAAGTAAAAGGAAAGACTCCACTGGAAATTCACTCCGGGCAACACTGGATTCCTAATTTATGGGGTAACCAATCGAAAGATCACGTCGTATCCATTGGAAATTATCCAGAAATGATAAGAATGGTGCGTATAAATGATGATGTATACCTCTAGGACCGGGTGCAGTTGATAATATATTAGATACGCTTCAAGTATAGCCATATAGATTTGAGCTTGAACAGGATGAGTTTAGTGGCGGGAAGTGCCCTCGTTATCACACCAGTCAATTGTTTAATCTTGACTCCCTGCCTCCACTATTCCAGGCAGATATAACAACAGTGTCTACGTTAGTGATATGACACCACACGCGAAAACCCGTTCAACCGGTGAACTATCAGGTTCCTAGGCACGTACCATACACACTGGCATTAACACGTCTGTATTATGCATCATGTCACCTACATGATTCTTAATCCAATCACCGTTCATATTTTTACATTCAATAATCAGCTCTATTTATTCTTATTGGAACCAAACAAAATTTAAAAAATATTTCCTAATAATGGATTCATAATGAACAACTCCAGCAAATTGCAGTAGAGAGCATCACCGACAAAAGTCGTTGAAATGTATCTCGAGAAGAAAATACAATAAATATAATCCGGATGCGACCCAGTTAGGGACTTAAGTAACACTTAATACGAGATATCACATATGGTCTTAATGTCGCTGTCAAGATTCAATTAAGCACCGAGTAATTCTTTCACATAATTGTGTTCTACTCACTCAGACCTGCTCCTCCGGATTAGTATGATGTGGATAATGATTTGTTGCTTTGATATCAGAAACTTCTGGCCTTGGCAAGAGTCGCGGGGGTGGTGATATCCGTATGAGTTTCTTTGGCTTCTTATCCTCATCTACGTAGCTCAACATACTGTGGGTATCGGATTTGTGGTTATTATCGAGACTGGATTCTATGTGGCTTGGGAGTTCATCGGGTTGAGGTGAGTCTGCAAATCTCGTGTGCCTGAAAAAAATGACAAGGACAATTTAATTAATTCATCGATACCAACCGGCGGATGAATGGCGCAAATATTGGGATTTAAAATAGAATATGGAGCATGCTCTACCTTGAGTCCAAAGTAACCCTTGAGATGGATTTTTTAATGGCACTGGCAGATGATGATCTCTCCATTCCATCGTAACTAGATTTCGATTCATGCTTTCTCATGCTTGCTTTGGACTCATTCCTGGGAATTTTTTTCTCATCCCTAGAATTAATACTTTCTCTGCGATGTCTTCTGAGACTGGCATTGATGTCCTGAAGGACTGTATTGTAATCCTCCTGGTCACCCTCATTCGGTGTAACTCCACTACAACCAGCTTGATCGTCTGCCTCCTTTTTCAATCATCAGCGTCAATTAGAATCACGCTACTTGGATTTTTTGGTAAATTGAATGTAACTATCTCTGGGCTGATGAATTAAAACAGGAAAACCTTCGTACCTCATCGTGTGTGTAGAACATGGCTAATCTCTGATCCGCTTGTACATTGATACTGTTACGTCTTGGTGAATCGTCTGGACCAGTTATCATTACGGGAATTGGCGTAGGTGGTGTTGGTGAGTGCATGTGTAAACCGCCAGATGATGATGCTGAACTAGAACCGGAACTCGTTGTCAACGAGCTGCTTGAATCTTCACGGTATGCTGGAAATGTTGCTGAACTCATTCGTTCTGGAATCCGTTGGGAAAGCACGTCACTTTTGAATTTAATTGGATTGTTTCATTGAATTATACAGAAATTAAGTTAAAATTTGAAACGACAGAACGGATTCTCTGGAAAGCCTTCGCTACTCGATAATAATTTCCGCTTTGACTGAAGGAGCGCGAAGTTAATTTTTTTACTTTCTTTCACTGCGGAAAATTTCTCCATTACTTCAAAGAGAGAGACACCAGTGTGATGAAAAACAGAGAAATTGAATACACGTAATTCCTGAACAAGGTTAACGGAAATTCTTGACCTCTTTCAACCACCGAGTTTTTTTCCCCCCGTAATTGCGCTTCAAGTTCATTGACACCTCGAGTGTAATTTTTCATACTGCGAGGGGAACAGATGGCAGTATAAATCAGCCAGTGAAGATTTGCATCAACCGTTGATAAGATAAGGACAAAAAAGGCCGGATAAAATAAAATTTGTAAATTTGTTTTTTTCTCGTTTTGTTTACCTCCTTTGGCGTGATGCAGAGCTTTCAGCTGATCAAGTTCCGCTGCTGAACACAGAGGGGTATCCACTTCGTATGTGTTATTGAAGAGGTTGTAGTTAACTTCGTACTCACCGGTTTCCTTTTTAAATGTGATAATGTGAGAGAACCTGTGACCCCAGAGTATTTCCGTTGCTAAATACGAGCTCCTGGCTTGTGTCGTCATGCCTGTTGACTCTATCACACCTACACCCGAATATCTGATATTAATTTTCGTTTCAAAAACTATCTAACATTCTGAAAAAATAATTCTTTCTCCATCCGAACCCCGGGAGGTTGAGCTCGCATCTTTAGGGTGGGAAAGCCGAATAGACTTTTTTAAAAATCAAATTTTTCCATCAACCAATGTTTGATTTCAAATTTATTCATCTCACACGTGATGATAAAGTCCTCCGAGACGGGAAAGGTATAAAAATGAAGAGAAAAAAAAATATACCTTCGAGCATGACGATAATTTCAAAGCGTTCCTTGAGCATATCACTGGCTGAGAGATGATACAGTGGGGAGTGCTCATCAATTTTGTGAACGATTGTAGTCGGCCAGATAAAGAATATCTTGTCCTCCTCCCCATCGCCACCCACTCTCAACTCTGTCTGGTAGAATGGCAGGAGTTCACCCTCCCTCGTCACCTGGGAATGTGTAAATTAGGAAAATTGATAAATCTGGAGAGCCGAGGGAGGAATATATTAGCATAAATCAATGGATTGCTGGGGAAAGATGGGAAAAAAAAATTCACCAAGTACCTTTCGCTTTATCATCTGTGCACGAACGTGCGCCTCTATGATGTGGCTCTTCCTCATGTCTCCGACTCGGAACATTAGGCATGGTTGGCCGTCTCTTTGACAAATCACCGCATTACGGGAGAATAAGAGGGTTTGAGTGCGTTTCTTTGGACGTGATAACTTGGCGAACACAATGCCAACCATGAATGCCTGTAGGATAACTCCGGTCATTGATTGGATGCACATTACGAATATTGCCTGGGGGCATTCTGTCGTCGTGTGCTTCGATCCATACCTGAAACAATCAACCAAGAGTTCAGCTTTTATCATGAATATTTCGCATGGAATGCCTTTGTAATTAACTCTTCGTTAATTAATTGAGTTCAAGTCGCAATATCGTTTCGATGTATCAAGTTTTCCGTTGGAATTTAATATACGCCCAGGAATTCCAGAATGTCGAAAATTTTTATAGAAATTTAATTAGCCTTTATTACACTATTAGAGATTTTTTTAAAACATTGAAACATTTTCACGGTTTCCCAGTGGTATATGAACATGAAAATGGGAAATTATTCCAGCAATTTAATACTATTTTATGGTCATTAAAAATTTCATGTTTATTGAGAGAAAATTTTTCAGGCGTATTTTTCTAACAGTTTGAGTTATGGAATTAAAGAAGTTTATTTGATGTTTAACGATGCAAAGTTTTCCTTTGACTTGGAGCAGAACATCACAAACAATCAGAAACAAAACCAGCAAATTTCATATTTACCCAATGGTATGCTGAGTCTCGACGGAGAATAAAAAACAACTGGTGAAACCGTGAATGTCCTCGACACAGGGGGTGAAAGTTTTGTTGGCGTCAGTGAAATTTCGGGGGTCGAGATCGCCGTGGGCCCAGGCTATGAGCCACCAGACAAGCGCAAACCCCAACCACGAGAGTAAAAAGTTCATCGAGAATACGAGGAGAGTCCAGCGCCATTGAGCATCCACCAGTGTCGTAAAAATGTCCTGATAGGTGAGACCAAAAAGAGAAAAAGAGGGATTTTAAATTGACAGGTCAGTGGTCTGTGCGAGCGATCTGGCAATGGGAGAAAAAAAAAAGTACCAGCAAATGATCAGGAATGTCTGCAAAGCTTACCTGGAGATATCTGCGACGTCTTTTGGCGACGTTTCCTTGGACAACGTTGCAATCACCGTGCTTAAACACCACTCGTTTTCTCACTCGCCTAGAGCTGAATCTCGTCTGTCGATATCTGAAATATTTTTAATCTGTTGAAGCCCCAGGGTTTAAGCGATTATCTGTTGTTAGAAATACTCAGATTGAAAATTTTCCAAAAGCTGTCATCACGCTTCATATATAGTATACAAAAAAATTTTTTTTTATTTAATACAGTTCTCAAAAAAAAACAGAATCTTAAAATCAAATGAGAGCGCTTGGAAATGCGAAATCCCTTTTCTCAGCAACTTGTCCTGAAATTCTGGATTTAATGGCATCGCTTGCAACATTTTATCTCGAATTTTCAAACGAAAAGAATCTCCAATCGAAGTAATATCTTTATCCCCGAGAAACTCTATTCCATGACGAAAACTTGGAAACATGACACAAAGGCCAAGTACCAAGAGAATATCAAAGCACCGAGAGCTCCCTAAAAGATAAAAATAAAATCAGTGTACCCGTTGAAAATAATTTTTCACTATGGACCTGAGGAAGTTGCTCTACTATTCGTGCCGCTGATACGAGGGTGAGGCAATTTGCCAGGTTTTCCTGTAAAAGGGGAAACGCGAGGGAGCAGAGAAAGCCCTTTGCCAGAGTTTAAAGAATCCTAGGTCAACGATACACATCATCATTCCACAGTCGTTCACCACCGGCGGATCCCGACTCCCAATTCATCAAATATTTCCTAATACTTCTCTCAAAATTATTCCATTTCCCTCTCACGCAGTACAATCAACAACAATGTACCTCTAGTTACCAAATTCCCAAACTTCTGCGTCTTACGTATCCGTGACAAATTCACTTCAACCAGTCTAAAATTTATTCTCCCTCAAGATTTTGGCAAATGATTACTCCAACCCAACCCAATCCACGTATTTCATAAACTTCTCCTCTGAACTCTACACATGTCCTTGAGTGTCTGAGCCGTCTCTGTTCCAAAAATGTTCTTACCCTCATAAACTCGAAACATTCCGGAATTATCAACGAATTCACCAGCTATAGCCACCGGCTTTGACTGAAAATAGATCAACATCACGATCCATTGTATTTAAACTACTCGCTAAACACGAGATCCTTATTTTTCCTGTTTATGCAAAAGCGCATCCGACATTGAAATATTTCACAAAGGGTATTTTAAGCTTGTCTGTCACGATTATCCACGTGTTTTCATTGCACTACCTCGTCTGGGATCCTTGGTGGAAATACAGACCAACATCTGGGGTTGAATTTCAAGGTCCAGTGTCTCAACCATTGAATTTTCCCTCCCAGAATCAAATAAGAATTCTACATTTTCACCCACAAAAAAAGAAAATTCTAGTACCACACATGCACACACACACGTTGCGACCCTGACACAATGACCCGTCTGCCAAGAATAGAATGGTAGATTACAGTGATGTTTCAATACAAGTTTTGAGCGTGTCACGGTGATAGTGATAGTCAGCCTCAAGACAAGTAATAAAAGAAAATAAGCAACCGTTGGAAATAGCCTAGACTAGCATCGCGAATCTACGTAAGCTATCCAAAATTATGATGTCTTGCATTCGCTAAAATAACATTAACAGGTAGGGCAGAGTATTTGAAGCAACATGAAATTGGGTCTTTTAAAATATCGTACTTGAGACACTCTTCACGCCAGGCAGTTTCCCCCGAGGTTGTGGCCTTGACCACCAGCATAGACACTTGGGAAATGGCACGACGAAGACCAGACAGTGTTATACCATCGCCTAGATGAAGACGATGAGCAGTGGCAGGAGCCTCTGTTACATGTGACTGCTCCATTGTCATTGAAAAATAATAATAATAAAAAAAACCAACTTCGCACCTGACAAACTAGCTTTCAAATCTCGCGGGTTCGCTGAACCTTTCCGTTTATGATCACTCAGAGATGTAATACCGTTTAACGATTTATTGTCGCACCGAGAGCGTTTATACTCGCGGTCGATTGCTTCCAAGGGAAAATGGAAATGCAATTGAATGGTTGAATTTTATTATTTGGTATTGGAAATATGATTTGGGATGGTGGATAACTTGGCTCATCTGGGATATTAGGCTTGACTGATTTTTCTGTGGGGCTCTCCGGGTTGCGGTGTTGAGTGCACGTTCTGGTGGTAGCCCAGGGGGAGAAAACTAAATGAGAGGAGTCACGGTAAAAAAGAAAATTGAAAGATAGCCCCTGGGATAAATTTAGCAGGCCGTTGCCTACCTCTTTCAAGTTAACACCGAGTTAGTAGTTGTATGATACGATTGGTTTAGCTATTCTGTTCAAGGAAGAGCCAAAATTCGGATGGTGATTACGTAGCCAGTTGGATTTATATTTAATTATAATCTAGATGTGCCTTTCTCGGTTGTTTTTACTCATTTTTTTTTTTCATTTAACAGGTCGTCTATTTCTGGAGTCGAAGGAAGATCTCAAAGCCAAATGTCACAACGTGTCCAGAGCCAGAGAAATATCCATACCAAACGTTTGCACCACATTCGATGGGCTTTTGTCACTCAGAATAATCAACACCCGTGGAGTAGATGTCAACAGTTCAGTCCGTCGTCATTCCCACGATTTGTCACAGTATTTAAAACATCAAAATCGTAGAATTCAGAATTTGTGAAAATCACCTTTCACTTATCGACCGACGCTCCCTGAGTGGCAGATATTCCCCCTTGTCAGCCACTTTACGCTGTTTCGATATTTCGATCTATATGTCCAATTATCACCGAAACACCCCAGAATGATCGGGAATGGGTGAGGGGAATAGGCTGCTCCGGATTTGGCCAATTAACCGCGTACTCTAACGAACGGTATCTCATGCGACACTGGGGATGCAACTAGACCAATTTGATTTTTGGCTGGGCATCGATGATTTCCTTCTGTGCGTACTCAATCTCTGCGTCATCGGCAATTTGGCATGATTGACCGGTTTTATCTGTCCTTAAAAAAAAACCCTCAGAACATAGATGAAGTACCCCTAAAAAATCAATGAATATTCGAAAAAAAAAAATTCCACTACCACATCTTCGATTTTCATGTTCTCCTGATACTTTCCTGGGAAAATATTGAATTTTTCAATTTCAATAAATACCTCCTCGATTTTCATGCTCCCCTGATACATTTTCAAAAATTTCAAATTTTCAGTGAATACCTTCTTCCTCCCCATGATTATAATCCGCATCGAGTGTTTCTGCTGTCTGCACGCAGAAAAAAAAAGCAATCGCCCAGAAATTGAGAACGAGACGATTCTATTTTTATTTAAAACCCACGTAGTTTAAACGAGAGGCATTGTAGAGGCGCCAGAATTTTCCGCGGATTTTCCCAAGATAAACTGTAATCGATATTTTCACTCTTTCCTGCCATATCTACACAGTCATCGACGGTGATACACTGAGTGTGCATAGTCACCCCTTTTCGAGAAGATATCCCCATTTCTACCCCAGTGGTACAGCACGTATAAGTATCAGCCAAGTTATGCATAGAAAGAAGGCAATGTTATCGTCAGTCCTGTCAAAGTCTCAGCCGACACTCGACCGGTCGATGTACCGGAATATCGCCTGCTCAGCGCTAAATAAACTAGATAAAATCCATGCACAAATGATTCTCCAACATACGCCAAGAATAATTCAGTCCTCCTTCATCTATGCCCGCCCCTTCCCGCGGTATCTGCAAATATCTGATCCATTTTCTGTAGCAAAAGCATCAGAGGATGAGTGGAGATGAAAAAAAATTCTCGTTCAACCAGAAACTCTCACGTGACGCGGCACTCCCTGAATAGGCTTCCCTGAATCTGACGCGAGACACTCGGATTGCGAATATCGCAACACACCATTGCTTTCATTTGGCTTATGCTCTAATAAGGTCTTTTTCCACGTAATATCCTCCATTTGTTAATCACATGTACTTTGCGCGTCATTGTTTCTTTTTTTATCTCGATTTGCAAACGAACCGCATCACAACTGGATGAGGAAAATTTAACGAGCGACAGTGGCTAATAACATTGATAAGAAAAGTGGAGGAAACATTCTGGTATTTGTTGGGTAAAAAAAACCAGTAAACTGAAAAAAAAAATATCCTTTTTTTTTCAACGGTTCCTTTACTCGCGAGGACTTGTCACTTTTTCAATACCCAATTTTTTCGATTGATTAATTAGGAGGGAATTGCCATCAAAAAGAAAATAATGGAAATTATACGGCCTTTGAGTGAATTTTTTTAATCATTATCGGTGCTGGAGAATCAATTGAAATTTTTTGCATCAGAAAAATCGAAATTTTGAAGAAATAGAGAATTATTGAAGTAGTTCATCCAAGATCCTCTGCGACATAATCATCTTAAAATAAAATCAGGATCTCCTGGAAATGCCTTCGCTGAACAAATAGCGCATGAAAAAAATATATAGAAAAATATGTAAAAAATTGATTAATTATATATTCTTAATTTGAAAATTTTTTTCCAAATATTTTGAAACTTCCCATATAATTTTTCAAAATGAATGAATACGTGATATGTCTAAATTCGTTTTTCAGGGTCACATCGCGTGAAAAAAAAACAAAAAAAAAACACATATTGACTCTGCATTAACGGACACTTGTGATCGCTGATGTGTGATGGTTTGGGCTATCTGTGAAGCTGATATAAACTTGATAATTTACCTGCTGAGAAGTGGGCCATTTTCGCCATTAAAACTTATTCTGCTGAATGTTCGCCTTTGGAAACTGCCGAGTACACTGAGTTTGTCTTTGGTGGAATCTTTAGCCGTTGACGGGTGCTCACTCGTCTGATCCCCCAGGTTGACAGCAACAGCGGTAGCTGGTACCGCTGAATTCACCAACAATTCTGTCCATGGAGTTGTCGAGTGCTTCGACACGTCGTCTTTAGTCTCCTCCACGTCACCCGGCATGACCACGTGCAAATCAATTATTCCAAATTAATTTGATTTTGAATGAGTCCATTCTCCTGACGCCAGCTAATCACCACTTGGTTACCGGAGATTGTGTGAGTCGAGTGCTCCATTATTTTTTATGTATACTCTACATTGGTGTCACTGCCACGGTTAGAACACTACAAATTATTGGCTAACACTATTCTTATCAGTTAAACAGTATTTATCAGCGCCTGTTTGATTCTTCTGTCTTCACTTTAATGAGAGAGTCGCTCGCGCTATCGGCTGACTGATTTCCTCCGGAGAACCGAAACAAGTGTATTGGCAGTGAATTCGATTGTCGATCGCCGAATATAAGCTCAACGATACTGCGAGGAAATTTTTTCCACGGTCTCTTCACTAACTATTCAACGAGTGTTAATTTGTGATTGCTGTCTCAACAGGAAAACATATCGCTAACAGTTTCCTACTTATAGACTCCCAGCCACTCCGATGATAAGCGATTCTCTTTCAGCTCTTTCAACGATTCACTACAGAACTTGAGGAAACTATCGTTTTTACTCCCAGCCACATATTCACACTTTTCACCGAGGAATAATATCTGCCACGTGTGGGACGCATCGAGTTGAAGATTTTTGAACGAATCATCGTAGCTTTAAATAACGGGGGAATAAAGGGGAATGCAATATGACGTGACCGAATTTATGTTGGATTGTGGAACCAATTGAGTCAAGAGATTGCCGTTGGGAAATAAATTTACAATGAGGCGGATTGAATTTTACCGAATAGGTGGTAGGAGACCTGTCAACACCGTAGAACTTGTGAGATTGCCGGGCAAACCCGGCATATGCGAAAATAATCTAACGCATTATAGCTAATAGCTAGCACCGGGTGGCCACACACCCACGTGCTGTTCGTGGCGATGAGGCAAACCAGCATACGCGTCACATAGTCCTCATAGTCCGTTGCCAGGGGGAAATATGGAGAACGGGGACAGATATGTGTGTTTCAAGGCAAAGTCCTTGTGATATTAACTAAAATTTTTCTATCACTGTGAGTACTAGCCGAAGGAATTAATTGATAAATATTTGGAAACACCCCCACCTGAAATTAAATGAAGGAAATTAATCATGTAATTTTTTCAAATTCTTGAGAAACTCCTGCAGAATGATTAAATTAAATGGATATTTCCATTAAAAAAATATAATCTGACAAAAAAACGTACCATTGAGCGAGAATTATCCTTTTTTCACCAAATTTTCACTTTATCTTGTGGAATTTTAAGAGGAATTCATGCCCCGCAAGTGAAATATCAGAAAAGAATTTGGTAACAATGCGATTACAGTTTATTGTTTGATATATCACGATACTAATGGCTTTTGGTATCGATACGGCTGAATGTCGAGTGATGGTGAATGTCGATCTATTGAGTAGAGCCTTGGAACGACGAAGTGAGACTGGTTTTGTGTGGAACGATAAACATTAAATTCCGTATGCATTGTGATAAGAATACATCCGCAAATATCCATGGGAAATTACGAAATCCAGGAGGTGATAGCAGATGTTTATGACAGGTTCAGGTGGGGCTGGGGGTGAGGGGATTTAGATGGGGTGATTTGTTCGGTGCGTTGTAGTTACAGGGTGATTTCAAGTAATGAGGATTGAGTGATTAATGCGCGGGTCGAGGGGCAAAGGTTGAAGGGTCGATTTAATTGATTTAATTTGCCTCCAAAATCGCGTTGAAGGTCCATCTGGCAAATTCTGAGGGAATTGGAGACTCAGAAGGTAATTCTCGGGATTGGCGATTGGTCATTTACGAATTGGTCGGCGGATTTGCTTCCTTACTGGCACCTGATACCTGTGAGATATCAATTGATTGCCAGTCCCATATTAAATTCTTCAGGTCAACAGGCAAAATACACTCAATACAATCAAATAAATTTGATTGGTTGCCGCGTTTTGGCATTTTATTTTTCATGACATGTACTCTGTACCGACACTTTGCATACCATTTATGGAGGGCAGCACCAAAGAGGATTGACTAAAGCGGCATCGTTGTACTGCACCCCAAGGGAGGGAGGGTGTCGCACGCAATGGGGGTGTCCATCAAGACGACGGGGTGAATTTTCTGATCTGAGGGAAGGAATGCTTTTTTTTTTATTTGTTTAACTGAAATTTAGCCGATTGTAGAACGAGCGGAAGGGGGAAGCCACATCTTGTGGAATTTTAAATAAAAAAAATATTCAATATATTGAATATATACTACTAATTAAATTATATTATTGCAATGAACGCGTGGTCTAGATGGCAACGCGCTTGACTGGCACGCGGCCCGCTAGGGTTCGAGACCAGCAACATTCATTTTTTTTTTTTTAAATAATTCCATTTTTATCTTTTTTAAGTCGCTAATCAATGGAAATATCGTTTAAACACTGAATTTTTGCAAATCGAGAAGATATCCAGTGAAATTAACAAATTTGAAATTTTTTTAAAAAATCGTTCTTCAAAATATATACGCCTAATGAAATTAAATTACTATAATGAGCGCGTTGTCTTAATGGTAACGTGCTTGCCTACCACGCCGGCGGCCCGGGTTCAATCCCGCCGTCATTCATTTTTTTTTTTAAATAATTCCAATTTTTCTTTTGTAAATGGCTAATCAATCGAAATATTGGTTGAAAACTGAATAGCTCCTCGATTGTCATGTTTCCCTAATACTTTTACAAAAATTTCGAATTTTTCACTTTCAGTGAAAATTTCAATGAATAGCTCCTCGATTGTCATGTTCCCCTGATACTTTTTCAAAAATTTCGAATTTTTCACTTTCAGTGAAAATTTCAGTGAATAGCTCCTCGATTGTCATGTTCCCCTGATACTTTTTCAAGAATTTCGAATTTTTCACTTTCTGTGAAAATTTCAGTGAATAGCTCCTCGATTCTCATGTTCCCCTGATACTTTTCAAAAATTTCGAATGTTTCACTTTCAGTGAAAATTTCAGTGAATAGCTCCTCGGTGTTCATGTTACCCTGATACTTTTTCAAAATTTCGAATGTTTCACTTCCAGTGAAAATTTCAGTGAATAGCTCCTCGGTGTTCATGTTACCCTGATACTTTTCAAAAATTTTGAATGTTTCACTTTCAGTGAAAATTTCAGTGAATAGCTCCTCGGTGTTCATGTTCCCCTGATACTTTTTCAAAAATTTAGAATGTTTCAATTTCAATACTTATACTTTTGCAGAGGGATATTTCGATTGATTATCATTAATAAAAAAAAAAAATTAATGATGCCAGGATCGAACCCGGGCCGTCGGCGTGCCAGTCAAGCACGTTGCCGTTAAGACAACGCACTTTATTATAAAATTATAATTTCATTAGGAGTATATATATTGCAAAAGTTTCGTTTTCAAAAATGTTAAATTTTTCAATTTCACTGGATATCTCCTGGATTTCCAAATATTCAGTGTTTAAACAATATTTCCATTGATTAGCGATTTAAAAAAGATAAAAATGGAATTATTTAATAAAAAAAAAAAATGAATGTTGCTGGTCTCGAACCCTAGCGGTCCGCGTGCCAGTCAAGCGCGTTGCCATCTAGACCACGCGCTCATTGCAATAATATAAATTAATTAGTAGTATATCTTCAACATATTGAAAATTTTTTTCGTTTGAAATTCCACAAGATGTGGCTTCCCCCTTCCGCTTGTTTTACAGTTGGCTAAATTTCAGTTAAATAAATAAAAAACAAAAAGCATTCAGACCACAGTAAATAAAATTCACCCCGTTGACTTGATAGACACCCCCGCATTGCGTATGGCGCCCTCCCTCTCGTGGGCTGCAGTACTACGATGCCGCTGGGGTCACTCAAACCCCCAGAACTGAGCCTCTACTTTAGTCCATCCTCTTTGGGCAGTACAGGGGGTAAAATGGGGTTGAAGTGAAGCGACCTGGAGGTCGTCTCAACCCCGTCAACTGGACGACTGACGTTAGTCTATTATCTTTACTCAACTCCGTCCTCTTCGATAAATAACGTAGCATAATGACATCGCTATGCTACATACTCCTACCTATTGTTGTGATTATTGGATTGTTAAGAAAATGTCGTGAACGTTCGTGGGGAAGATGCAAGGACACAAGCAATTTGCAGGACCGTGTTTTTCTGGTAACCGGCGCCAATTCGGGAATTGGAAAGGAAACAGTCAGAGAACTTGTCAGAAGAAATGCCAAAGTCATCATGGCTTGCCGGGATATGGAAAGTGCACGTAATTGCATCGCCGAGATACGTACAAAAATTCCCACTGGGGAAATGGTAAATTTTTTATTTATTAATTTTCACGACGTGACGATTTTTTTTTTCAATCTCGGTTTATCCAATTACAAAAAAATCATTAATTGTTCATTTCTCTGTCGACATAATTTATAGATTCCAATGGAGCTCGATTTAGCTTCTCTCTTGTCGATCCACAAATTTGCGGAACGTGTACTGCAAGATTTTCCAGAAATTCATGGGCTTATAAACAACGCCGGTGTTTACGTACCTCTAAAAAATCGAACATCAACAAGAGATGGATTCGAAATTCACTTTGGAGTTAATCATCTCGGTCATTTCCTTCTCACCAATTTGCTGTTGGATAGGATGAAAAGATCTGCACCGAGCAGGTACACTTTACCCTTTCATTTTTCAAACAATTTGCACATATTGAAAAAAATAAAACATTAATCCATTCTTTGTACTCAGAATCGTTATAGTAACATCAAAATTAATGGAGTCTGGGGTAATTGATTTCTCAAATCTCAACGGGGAAAAGGGATTGCCCTCAAAAGGCAGGATGAATCCTGCCTACTGCAACTCCAAACTCGCCAATGCATATTTCACGACAGAATTAGCAAGAAGACTGGAAAATACTGGTGTGAATGTTTATATGGTCTGTCCGGGATTCACTTACACTGGATTATTCAGGAATGTCAAGAGGAGGTGGTTCCATTATATCATCTTTTCGCCAGTTGCCCTTCTTTTTTTACGCACGGCTCATCAGGTAATAAACTAGGATATTCTAAAATACTATTATAACATTTAAAAGGGCACACTAATAATAAAAAATATGGTAAGCCTTTAAATGAATGTAAGAGCTCGCCAGGAATTCCAGAATCAATTTCGAAATTTTGGTATTACAATTCCAGCTTTTATATTTAACTCGTCAGATCTATTTTTTAGATGAGAATTTACAATAATTATTGTACTGGGTGATCATTTCAGGGCGCACAAACAGTACTTCACTGTGCAACAGATGCTGGTCTATCAAATGAAAGCGGACTACTGTATCGTGACTGTAATCTTTACGCATCAAAAAGGACTCTCAGGCCGGAAGTAGCTCAAAAACTCTGGGATATTAGTGCTAGTCTTACCGGAGTTCATTCTTCCAAATAAAACATTTTTTTTTCATAGATTTTACTTATAACCAACTGATGAGATCTCTTTATCTCTCTCAGAATTTTTTGAAATTGTACATAACATGAGAGAATATTTTCATTTCGAAAACCCAATTTTTCTAGATTTCCAAGTTCGAATTATCGCAACGATAGCTGTCCAATGAATAGTGATTGCTTACATAATCAGTGATAAAATAGAATAAAGCATTAATTTATTATCTGAATAAATAGAGTGAAGGAATTAAAGAGAACCAAGATTAAGAATAAAAATGAACCCTTTGATATTGAGAGAGTAGACTGACATCATGTAATGAGTCAGTTACAATCATTGTTTGTTCGATTATGTTCAAGTGGTACGATGAAATAATTTGATTATTAATCCAATGTCCTTTGCTCCAGTCAATTCCACCCGCAGTTATTCCATGAAGAAATTTATTAAATTTAATTTCGAATCGAAAGTCATTACAATAATTAGGGAAAAACATAAATTTTCTCTAAAATCTCTTCTTGTTTATTTTAAACATAATTTTCCTGGAAATAAATTGAATAGTTTCATATAAATTCTTTAATCCAACAATTATTTATCAACAAATTCAATTCGACTCCAAATCCTTCAATTTATATGCAATAAATAATTAAATAAATCTCTTCAACCATTCTATCATTCTTTTCCCCCGAATGAAAATAGCATTTGATCCAGAAACAAATAGCCAGCTAAAATAAATTACACCTAATTCATGGAATCATTGAAAAATAATTATCCTCGAATCAGAAATAAACCTAGAACCTTGGTTTCATTACCTTAAAGCTCGTCTTTTTGCTTGCGAGTGCTTCAGTTCTTGCAAAAACATTTTCCGAGCTTTTGCGTATGGAATTAATGAACTCACTGGAGGCTTGAAAATCATTGACAGTCTCTTGAACCCTGTTAGGCTGTGATCGAGAGATGGGAACAGGAAAAGTCTTCCTTTCCATTGACATCTGGAAAATTGGATTGGACTCTGTTCTCCAGTTGCTCCTGTCATCTCCATCATCGTAAAACGACTTAGCGCTCTCAGGACAGCTGCAGGCGACTCCCAGTCTTTCCTCAATCCTCTCATAGGAATTCCTGGTATTATCCAACGATACCATCGAACTCGAGAGTGTTTCAGTACTGTCATTTACTCCCTTCTCCCCCTCAAGACCAGTCAGAGTTTCTTGACTCCTGTCCTCCCCCAATTTTTCTACCGCTGAAATCGTGAGACCCTCACTCGATTCAATACTCTCCTCACCCACCTGAACATTATCCAAAGCATTGGCAAGTCTATTCAATGCAGTTTCGATTTTTTCATCATCCAACTCCCCATTAATTCTGTTCACCTCAGTCTGAGACGCCCCCAAGGCCATTTCACAGCTGCTTATTGAGTTGGAACTCCTCTGCCTAATACTATCACCATCACACTTCGGTTTTGATACAGACACAGGTATCGTAATCTCGATCTCAGGCTCAATAAGCTGATTCGACTGTACTTGTAGCTTCAGCCTGTCATTCTTACGATCATGAAACAGCCCATCGTCAATAGTCTCTCCACTACTGTTGCTCATCCCATCTCTGGGTAACGAAAATGTTTTCGCATCGATAGCCGATTCCTCAGACTTGCAAATACGTTTGCTCTGCTTTCCCAAAACAAAATATTGATTTGGTTTATTAAGGCCTTGATCAAGAGAAGATCCTAAGGAATTTCTCAGCATTCTCAACTGACTCATCGTCCTGGTCCTACTGATTTTATCAATCACCACTTTTTGGAGAGGAGGAGTCAGGGGAACATTGTGTTTTCCATTAGCACTGTTATCAGTATCCAGAGATGAGCCTGAGAACGTACGTTTTGAATTGTCCAGCGACTGATTAGGTTTCAGGTTGAGTAGAGATCCCAAATTGATTAATGTCGGACGTAAATCAATGGTGGTGAGGCCACAGTACCACCTGAGTTGGGCAATGTTTTTATTCAATAAATAAACCCCGTAATTAAACCGTAATTTATCCTTGCTGCGAGAGAAAAGTGGAAACTGACGATCTTTCTTGGGAAAATTGTCGTTTATGTGGTCGACGATTTTAGTTCTCGAGCCGCTGAGGAGAATGGGGTACCTAGTGGGGACGTTGAGAAAGTTGGCAACCATCTGAGTGCATTGGGCCACGTAACCCAGGGCCGCTGAGGTCTGAATGTCGTTGCAGGAGTCCAGCTCTTCACTGTCTGGCAGATGAATGTTATTGATAATGTATTTTCGTTCAGACTCTTGGCGAATGGGGAAGATCAGGCAGAGATCTGACATGAGGTGACGTCTCATGTATGCCAGCTGTGCCGATGCCTGTACATAAACCTCTCTAGTCTCTATGTGACTCTGGCGCCACTCCTTCAGTCTTTCCATGTCCTTATTGAGTTCTCGATATCTCTCCATTAATAAGGAACCGTGATCCTGATTCTCCTCCATCACACTCAGATGTAATTGATTTAGTGCCCGCAATTCACCCATTTTTCGAAATCTCTCTTGCTCTAGTAATTTCATTCTAAATTTCGCTACTTCTAATTCCTTTTTAATCATCAAAATTTCTGCTTTCTTTTCTTTACTTATTCTCTTTGGTTGAAGTAATCTGTTAAGAGTTGTCTGTCTGAATTTTGGAGATTGGACACCATCTCCAGAGGCTATTCGCTCTCGTAAGGCCTCGGTGGCCTCATTCTGTTGCTTAAGCAAATGCATCTTTCGTCTGAGGCTAGTTAATTTGGAGACTGTGTAGCTGTCTCGGATCTCCGAGTTGCTGACACTCATGTAGAGGTAACGACGGAATTCGGGAGGATGAAGAAGGCAGTAGGATGGCACAAAGAAGCCACCGTAGAGGTGAAATATGAGGGAATTTGGCCGGAGCATTGGTTCAAGGTTGTTCGAGAGCTTTGGGCCCATGTAGACGAGACCCGTGAAGGAGATACCCCACGTGAATACTGTTACGTCGCTTGTCGGATCGGCCACCACTGTCCGTCTCCATAGACGCAAAATTATTTCTATGCAATACGACGTTTATAAATTCATTATAATTTTATAAGGATGATTTAATAAAATAATTCAATTTAATTACCATTTGCAGTGGAGAGACCGGTGGCATGCAAAGTAGGCACTTCAAGGCTCACCCATCGTGGGCTACCATTATCAATGGGCTCACTTGTATAAAATGGTGATGACATGCTCGATCTGTGGAGTGTGAAATAAAACCAGCATATTTTATGGTTCTTATCCGTCTCCAAGTTACACCCTATCACTTGGCACAGGCTCCTCAGGCGCAGCTGAAATTCCAGAGTCACGTGCCGTTATTATTATACATATGGCCTCCACTCAAAAAAAAAATACATTATAATAAAGAGGAGTTCAGTGGTAAATCAATGGGCTAGAAAAAGCAGTGATAATTTTTCTGACCTGTTGGGTGGCCAAGGGCAGCCAAACTTTGTACCTCGGTGCAGCTCGCGGTTGAAGTGTTACATCCAAGTCCCTTACGAGACCCTGCGCGACTTTCACCTCCATTATTCACAATCATGGCAAACCTCCACCCACTTTGATATGTTAAGTTTGTTTTGTTCAATCGTTTAATCAAGTTGCAACAGTGAATGATAATAAACAAACGATAACCACCGAATAAATATCTATGTGACATTTATCATCGTTCAGTTAAGGTTATCTATCACGTTAATTGCATTCAACTGATCCTAATCGGTAACGATATTCTCTTGATAAATTAGCGGTTTTTAATGGGTTGGTACTGGTGGTCTTGAAATTAATCAGGAGTATATCTGGTTTTTATTCGAGCACAATAGCATTGTTACATCTGGCGTGTTTTAATGTCAATCAAATGAGGCTGAACGTTGACAGTTTAGTTTTTTCACAAATCAAGCAATTTTTCACAGATCCACACACGGTCAGATGTGAACACAGCTGCACAGGTCGGTAAGGATGATTATTTATAGATAATGTCATTATCAACTGAGCACACCCGAGAATCCTTAATAAAATAAAATAGCTGAAGCGCCCCCATTCACAAGTTCAACCTCTAATTACTCCATAATCGATGGCTTTTCACCAACCCCGCATCCTGGGCTCTATCCAGTTTTTTTTCGAGTGGATTTGTGTGCTCTATCTCAGTTGACTGAATTTTTCACTTAATAATTCATGAAAATCGTGGGTGAATTGAATATAATAATTGAGGCTCGATAAATGGAGAAAACATCAACGAAATTATCGCAAGTGAAGCGTTTGAAAAACGATTGAAAAACTCGTGACAATGTTCGTGAACTCACCGTAAAAAGTCATTGATCTAATGGACAGGCTTGCCAGATTTTTAAAATAATTTTCTTCAATCTTCACTCCTTTCGTGAGGACTTTATCCAACAGTGGATGATAAATTGGATGTACTTGTGGGGTGTGTTCACTGGTTTATCATAAGTGAAGTGAAATTATTTGTGGAGTAAATTTAAAGAGATATTTGTTTTTGTGGACTCCATCAGTGCAATGTACCGCATTACAACTGCATGAATAACCGAGAAATTTTATTTGTCAATTTGTGATGATTTTTCACTGTTACACTCAGTTTTGGAGCGGCTTTTGTTGACAGTCAATTCCGTTTTATTCGGATAAACAATGACCGCAACGTTCGATCAGTATGACAAGTCGAGGTAATTGGATAAATTATTGAGTTTACATCTTCATTGTGATTATAGTCCATTAATTCTCCTTGTGAATTCCTCGTCTCTTATTTTTAATTTCATTTAACCACGATTTCACGTAATAATGAATTCAGTGTTGAGTCGGAGTGGAATTATTCTGTGTGATTCACTCCAAGCTCCAGCAATTTTTTGTTCATTACGCAAGGTGTTTTTGGGATCCAAAATCATGTATTTTCAACGAATTTCAGTTGGTACTTTGGGGCAATGTCGAGGCAGGACGCCTCCGATCTGCTGATGGGGGAAAAAGAGGGTGGCGTATTCTTGGTTCGTGACAGTACCTCAATTCATGGCGATTTTGTGCTATGTGTCAGGGAAGACAGCAAAGTCAGTCACTACATCATCAATAAGATGCAGCAGGGCGATCAGATACGTTACAGAATAGGCGATCAGATATTTCCTGATATTCCCAATTTATTGGCGTTCTATAAGATTCATTATTTAGACACGACTCCACTCATTAGGCCAGCGCCCAAGAAAATACAAAGGATTGTGGCTAAATATGATTTCGAAGGAAATGATCCTGATGATCTACCTTTCCGCAAAGGTAAACATACATTAATCCAGTATATTAATTCATTTTGTTTATTAAATATTAAAATTTTTAAAAATATATTCATATATAATGAAAGTGGTTGGAAAAAAAATATGAATACTTGAAGAATCGAATACGTCATAAATTTCGGAGTGGAATTACCTGCGGTCACATGACTTTGAATTAATCTCTTGTTATCGCTCAATCACATAATTAATCTCGACAAAAATCAATCAATTTGACAGGTGAGATTCTCACAGTCGTCACGAAGGACGAGGAGCAGTGGTGGACAGCACGTAACAGTGTTGGACAAACAGGTCTGGTACCAGTGCCATATGTACAAAAGTACGAAGAAGATAATCATGGAATTGAGAACAATATACGACCAGACAGTACAAGCAGTGGCTCCAGTACAGCATCAAATTCACTCCCATCATCCACAACACCATCTGTTAATGCAGATATAACGCAACAAGTAACAACAACACCAACAGCAACAGCCACAGCAACCGCAACAGCAACAGCAACAGTAACAGCAACACGTCGTTCAAATATTCAGCGCACATTGCCAGCATTTGCAAAGGTTAAACAGGCACGTGTGCCAAATGCCTACGATAAAACAGCATTGAAACTTGAGGTTGGTGACATGATTAAGGTGACTAAAATGAATATGAATGGCCAGTGGGAGGGTGAACTGCACGGTAGAATTGGACATTTTCCATTTACTCACGTTGAATTTGTCGATAATGAAACAACTGGTGAGGATAATCAAGAGATTTGAAGGTGAAGGTGAATAAAGCAAGTATATAAAGCAAAATGAAATGTTTGTCTTTTCGCTCTTCCAGTTTGTAATGCAATTACATAAGAAATCAATTTTCGTGGTTGTTACCAAACAAAGTATAAATAATTATGTATGAAATAATGTTTATCTCAATCAACTTTGCCATTAGCATCAACGTATTTACTATAAAAGTTTATGTTTTATTTGATAGCACTGTAGATTGGTGAAGTAGGAAGATGTCTTATTCATTTTTGAGAATTTTGAGTCATTGAATTATCTGAGAATGACGGAGTGATGAAGGAATATACCGTAATATCAGGCGTAAAGGACTGGAAAATTCATAATACGAGTGCTTGTTGAAAGAAATGCCTATATAATTGTAAAGATGTGTTTTCGAACATCCTATCGAGTTATCGTAGACGGCTCAGAACGGGAGGACAGAATTCTATGTCAACAATCGATTCAGTTCATCTTCTTATCTCACTTTTCTATAAATTTCTCTTATTTTGGTATTCGAACTTATTATTCGAGACACTCAATAGGAATGTGGAGTCTATATATATGTACAGAGATTCCAGAGAAGGGAGAAATTTCATATTTTTTTTATTTAAAAAAATTGCAGGATCGACAATGAGGTATAAAATGATAATCGAATTGTGAATGAGTATTAGAAGCTATGGTAGGTGAAGATATCGTTGTATTTTAGATTGTTTTTGCAATAAATGGAGAGAAGATTTTTCTGTTTCGGCCTTTGTTCAAATTATTGAGATATTCTGTACAAAATTGTGAACTATTTTTCGATTTATGTGGTGTTTTGATGATTTTTCAGTTTTAATGAATACTTTTATACGAGAAAATTTCAGTAAATGGAGATTGATGGACAGTATAAAAACTAGAATCTTCTCCTTTTAAAAGAAAATGCAACACTCATGGAAATCAAAATGAATGATCAAATTTTAATCATCACTGATACGGTGGTTTTTTTGTAATATTAAGAAAAAATCGAATTCTTCAATGTAAATAACATTAATTGTATTTTCCTTATGTTTTTTATTTCACATATTGATTTACCAGAATAAGTGAATATTTCCGTTTTCCCCTTTCTTGATTTAACAGTTGTTAAGTTCTAGTCACACCGAGTGAGCAGAAATGCAGCTATTTGTACAGAGTGTCTCATCAACAATTTTTTTTGCTTATATAAAATCCTCAACTTTTTGAACAAGTGGCCTCGACGAAATTGTACTATGGATTTATGTAAATCTTTAATTACTTGATGGGTGAAACTTGGCTTTTGCCCAGCACAAGATGCATTGCATTTTCATTTAATTCTTCAAATAGAAAACAATATATTTTTCACTTAATTTTATAAGAGTGTTATTATTTATAAAAATACCCAATCAATCCATTGTTCTACTCCGTCTAATTTATTTCTGAATCATAAAAATTTTGAAGTGGCCATCCATAAAAGAGAAAAAAAATCGTATGAAAATCACTTCAAAAAAGGGAAGTGCTTTTGTCTAATCGTGAGAAGAGCCTCTTCTTTCATACAAATAAATAATGCATCTCATTATCGATCACATGGGTTTTGCATGAATTCCACAGACACACATGCCAAATTCCTCAGATTGGAGTGAAAGATGAGAGGGTGGATATCGTCTGGCGTTCGAATTTTCACCCTACCACCTTTCTCACATCAATCATTTAATCCGACGTTCTAATTGAATTGCGTTGTTTTGGTAACCACCTCCTGTCATCGATTCCACCTGCATTTGCACGCCCAGCTACTGGCATTACTAATGAATTACGAATTTAAGTAGAAGATTTTGGGGCCCTCCATATACAGTGTCTACCGTTTAATTAAAGTACTCAACAATACCGTAACATTCATGGCAATTTTTGCTGCGGGTCAAAATTTAAATGTCACATGTCAATGTAAAATAGACGATTTATCCACGATTAAAATGGGGATCATTATCCATTCATCATTCGCTCATAAATGATGAGTCGTAACTTATTCCGAATTTTCACGTAATTGAATACTTAATGCAAGCGACTATGATATGAGAGGAAATTAAAAAAAAATTCTCTGAGTAATAATAAATTTTGGTAAAACCAATTTTCATTTTTCATTACAAGATTTTATTTTGTTGACTTTAATCATTGAATTTTTCTGTGATGTAGTGCTAAAGCGTGTTAGCTTGTCAATGGACCAATATTAATGAGCGGTATGACTACCATAGCAACGATAATGAATCAAAATCTCCTGTCAAGGAATGAGGTAGTATTTACGTTGTCATACATTATCCTGATGAAAGACTACCAATTCAGTCAGACGTTGTATTTTTTCTCTCCTTCATTTCTCTCCTCTGGTCATTCAATTTCCTATTTTCCCCTCGAATTATCTCCTGCGCGCTGTCCTTTGTTCATCGCCAATTGTGCTCTCTGTTCACTACCAAAGTAACAACGTTCATTTTATTTTTCAGCTTTTTGTGTTATTTTTCATTTTCTCTGTATGTATCCGAAATCAATTGGCACTGCCATCGACAGACGATAGGTTCGTTTTGAAAAGAGCCTCTCTTTACCACAGGAATAGAATAGGGAGACCTCAAAGAAAGTCATTTTCAGGCTTTCGCGAAGGGGAGACAAAGATATTGTATGTCAACTGATTATTGGCTGTGGATAATTGCACTTGACCATATATTTGAATTATCTGTACTCAATTTTCAAATTTCCCACTTCTTATAGATTCAAGTGGTACGAGATAAAGATTAGGAAATTCTGTAGAATTATTTAAGATAATGCTTGCAAAATACTTTTGACCATTCTTTCAATTAAATTAAATTCATATGATTGAAGTTTTCATTAATTACGAGCCACATTTATTCTTAAGTAAGAAAAACAGGCATTTTTAATCTCTGAAAGTGATATATCCGGGAATGTATGAGCCGCGGATATCTCAGCGTCAATTAGTCTCGAATGTAACGTATTTCAGTACGACTGAAGTACCCGGAAGTATTACGAGTGCAATTCAATGTGAGTATGAAAGAAATCTCCTGCGGTTGAGGTGTGGCCTCTGGGTGCATACTTAATACGAACGGAAGGGAAGTCCAAAGGAATTCCCAAGCCTTACTCGTTTTAATGAGTAAGACTTCACTCGAAGATGAAGTGCTATTCCACGCAATGAAAATTCCAAGTTTGAAGTGATGTTTTTTTCAAGTTTTCTTGGTCGTCTCGACGAATTGAGAGGAGATAAATAATATGCTAATCTGAGGCCAGCGTCTGTTCTCCATTCCATTTTATTCTCCACTGACGTTATCGTTTATTTGTTGAACCATCACTTCGATTTTACTTTCTTCTCTTTTATCTCACTTCACCAAAATACACGGAAATAACAGGAGGGCCCGAGTAGAGTCTAATGCATATTGTTGCGAGAGGAGAGTGAAAAGAAAAATCGAGAAATACGGCTGGAGCATTTGGAACTACAGGAATTTAGAAAATCCGCGTAATTCACTTTGCAGGGGGTACACAATGTTGCTACTATTTTGTGTCAACAGCTTAATTCAATTCAAGTGTTTATCTTCATTCTAATGGAAATTGGGTTCGCTCAGAGATTTAATGGAGACATTTTTATTGAAGATTGACAGTTTCTTTGCAATATTCATCCGATTATTCTTAGAGAAAACGAAATGATTCTCAAAATCCATCTCAACATTATTAATTCCAGTATTATTCATTTTAATTATTATTTTCTATCAATGTCATAAGTCAAAAGAGCAGAAAAAAACTTCAATTTATTTCCAACAATTTTCAACTTTTCACCAAAAATCTTTTTGGTTGTACTGAAACTTTAATTCACGACTCCAACACAACATACATTTTCGTGTAACTGCAGCCTCTTCCCAATATATTCCGTCAGTCCGAGAGGAAAATATCCGGGGCTATATATTCCCCACCCGTGAATCTCGGGGTATTTGCGATGAGAAAGTTTTTTTTTTTGTTTTTTTTTTGTTTTCAAGTTTTTGTGCGAGCAATAAGAAAAGAGGAAAGAGAATTCAGAGGAATGCTGGCTGGTGTAGCTGTGGGAGTGCTAGATAGACTGTAAGAGAGTAGCCACGGATTGAAGACACGTGCTGTGCAATATTTTCTTGTGTAGGCTGGCTGCCGAATGTACTCCCAGAAGTGAGAGAAAGATAGAAGAGATTACTAGATAAAATAAAAAAGAGGGGAAGTGAAGCGAGAGGGAGAATGATTCCAGTAGTAGAGTCGAGAGTTTCGGCAGCCCCGTGGAATTTACGGGTGTCTGGATGATGGGGTTTTCTTGCTACGTAACTGTAATTTTTTTTTTGACAAGTCTTCTCAATCTTTTGCGTCTTATGAAGGAAAGGATCGAATTGATATCGGGTATCCTCGGATTATCTGAACACACGCTTACGATGGTATGAACCTTTGATATTTTTTTTATTCACGTATTCCCCTCACCCGGAAGTGAAAGAAATGACATTCGTGAATAATTTGGAATATAAGGTAAGTAATGGGAACCCCTAATGCTTGATTACATTTTTTATACCGCCCGGGATTTATGAAATCTTTTTCTATACAAAATCGAAAATCAATTCCACGCATTTTTTTCATCATCTCAATTTATGTGCATGAATTAGATGAAGTCTCTGGTGGACTAGCTGCGGAATTTTTCTGGGTTTACTCTTTAGTAGTTTTTCACCAAAACAAATAAATAGAGCGCTCAGAAAATATTTCAGTCTCTCGTCGGGTTGATAGGCCCGTCGACGGCAGTAGTCTACGTGATTCGGGAAATAATACAACCGCCATTGCCTTTAGCTCTTGTTCCCGGTTTTATTTTTATTTCATTTTATTTCATGTATACAGCTCAGGTCTCATGTGTATTCCTTACTTCACGGGTTTTACACACTCAGTTGGATTTATCGGGTCATTACTTCCGCAGTACAGGAATCATGGAAATTTACATGAATGTCTAGACTCCCGCTAATTCAACTTATGCTAGTTTTTTTTTTGGGAATTGAAAATATTACTTGAGATTTCCCACCCGAAAAATCATTATTAAATTTTTCAAAAAATTTAAATTCTCTTTTATCTGTGATATATTAGTATCAAGACTGTGTATCAAATATTTCTTTAGATCCCAAGGAAATCAATATCATGTTTAAATATTTCATTATTTTTTTTTATTTATTATTAATTTTTAATTGGATACGTCATAGTGAAGACAACGGAATCAAATTGAATGAAAATGGATCTCAAATTTTATAAAAAACTGACGGATCTCCTGATTACACTTGTTCAAACACTCGTGTATTCGAAGATGAAAATCTTGGATAATTGGAAATACGTCCTTAAATATTGGAGAGTCAACATAATTGAGGCTAATATCTTCAGCGGATGATCGAGCAATTACTATAAAAGCCCGGTAACAATCAATCAGCCGAGTGGTTGGATAAACCAGCTGATACCGCTATGCGATAACTAAGCTGATATTTTCCAGGGAACCACACCCTGAAGATTTCTCCAGAAGAAAAGAAGAAATATTTGAAGAAATTAATTATAAAAAAAAACTACCTTTCAAACTGCTAAATATATTCCACCAATTATCCGAGGAATTCGTCGTTTTGTGCGATTTAAAAATATATACTCGGAGATTTCTAGTGACATTTTTAATTTTAGTCTCTAGTTGACGTTAATGAGAGCCGTCTGGAAATGACTAGTCAACTGTTCATGAAATCCCATATTTTTCCGGTGATTGTAAACCGAGAGTTTAATTTTTCCCTCGATTTTTTATCATTGGATTACTTGGAATTAGGAAGAGACACTTTGTGATATATTATCGAGCGAGTGGATGTCAATTCACTGGTGATTAGTTTCCTTTTATTCCTGTGGTTTAGTCAAAGACCCAGATCGGATGAAGAATTTCACCTTGCGTTAGCCATTTCCAATACCATTAAATCCGTAAATTTAGTGGTGGTCGTCGTCATCAAGGAGACTCGAATCTCCTTTAGCTTTACGTCGCAGGTAAGAATTCTAAAGGCTGACGATGAAAATAAGGCTGGGAAAGGCTTTGCTCACTGAGGCTGAGTGACGGGGGCGATAATATATATTCTACTCAGTAAAATCTACTGTACTAGTACAGCTCGTTTTGGGCCTAGTGGGCCGTACCGATTATCCTGCCGACGTACTTCAAAGACCTTTTAAAAAATGAAGTATATTATCAAACTTACTACTTCGAATGCGATATCCCAAATATCCAAGGTGTAGGTCGCATAATGCACTTTCATCCCTCTCTAGCTTAGAATTCTGTGAGGGCACACAGGGTGTAGTTTTTCTCTGAGGCCCCTT